TGCTACCCCTCAGGCTGCTCAGACCCCTGAAATTGGACTCCCCTGAGACGGGCATCCTTTTGTCTCCCTCTAATTACTTTACGAGAACAACCGGGTTGGTAGGCGCCTTGACGGTCATGTCGGAGGGCCAGGACCCCTTTTTACAGGTCCTCAATTCCGGGCCCTCGCCTATTGTGGTTCCATCCGTCGCCGTTTTGGCACACGCAACTCCGGCTCCTCTACCCGATGACACCAGGCCGGCTGGAGGGGTTGTGGCGGGTGTGATGCATGGTGGGGGGACCGACGCATCGTGGATCGATGCGCTGTGTAATGAGAATGCCTCGTTTTCCTCCGAAGAGCGCCAGTGGCTCCACAAACTCATTTAGAGGTTCACTGATGTGTTTAGTCAGGGTAAATTTGATCTGGGTCGCATGCCTCTTTTGGAACATCACATAGACACGGGCAATTCGGCCCCTATTTGGCAAATTTCGCACCACTTCAGCCTGGCGGAAAAATATCATGTCCGCTTGGCCGTCGACGAGATGTTGGCAGCGGACATCATCTCCCCATCTACTATCCCTTTGGATGCCCCCATTGTGCTAGTCCAGAAACGGGATGGGAGTCTCCGTTTCTGCGTCGATTTCCGTAAATTAAACAAGATCTCGGTGGCTGATGCATATCCATTGCCCCGCATGGATGATTCCCTGGATGCCCTCTCGGGTGCGCATTTTTTTTCGACCTCAGACTTGCTCTCAGTTCTCTGGCAATTGCCACTGGACGAGGCCTCTAGACCCAAGACAGCGTTCCGCACACCCCAGCGGCTGTTCCAATTCAATCGGCTTCCTATGGGTCTCCATTCGGCCCCGGCCACCTTCCAGCGTCTCATGGAGATGGTCTTGGCGGGGATACAATGGGAGTCTTGTTTGATTTACTTGGACGACGTTATTGTTTTCAGCCGTACGTTTGATGAGCACTTGCAACGTCTTTAATCGGTGTTCGTCAAAGTGCGTGCTGCGGGCTTGAAATTTAAACCCCAGAAATGTCATTTGTTACAACCATCGGTGAAGTATTTGGGAGATATTGTTAGTGCGTCAGGTGTCGCCATGGATCCGGAAAAGACAGCTTGTGTCCGGACATGGCCAACTCCCACATCTGTCGCTGAGGTGCGTAGCTTTGTCGGCTTCGCATTGTATTATCGTCGGTTTGTGCGCGATTTTGCGACGATAGCGAAGCCACTGCACGCACTCTCCGCCAAAGGCCAAAAGTTTTGCTGGGGCGCAGAGGAGGATGCCGCCTTTGTTACGCTTCGTACATCCTTGGCGGATGCACCGCCCTTGGGGTACCCTGATTTTTTTAAACCCTTCCTTCTCGACACCGATGCCAGTGACACGGGCATTGGGGCGGTCCTGGCTCAGGTGGTCGATGGGGTTGAAAGGGTTGTGGCTTATGGCAGCCGCGTTTTGTCCCCCGCTGAACAGCGGTATTGTGTGACCCGGAGGGAGCTGCTGGCCATAGTATTCTTTGTGCAGCTGTATAGGCCCTATTTGTATGGCAGGCGGTTTACCGTCCGGACTGACCATGCGGCCCTGCAATATTCGCTGCGGATCGACCAGCCCTTGGGTCAGCTGTCCCGCTGGCTCGAGGTGCTGTAGGAATATCCCTTTGACGTCATCCACAGGAAGGGGGCACAGCATGGTAATGCTGATGGGCTGTCCAGGTTGCCTATGTAGGGTGGGTGCGCTTGTGCCCTGGGTTCAAGTCGCTGCAGGACCCCAGTGGATGCCGCGGCCCAGTTGGTTGCATCGGCCGAAGCGGCTCTCCCTTCGGGTGTGGCGTTGCCTGTTGATTTTGGCCTGGGACTCCACCAAGAGATATGGTCCAAGTTGCAGATGGAGGATTCCTCTCTGCTGAGGCTATGACGCCGTGTTGGGCTAAACGCCCAGAGCTCGGCTCCATCGGCTGCCCCGGTGGTCACTGTGCATGACGGCCTCCTCATGCGTTGGGATGCCCAATTGGAGTGTTACTGTGTGGTTGTACCCACTGCCCTGCAAGGTAATTTGACCCGGGCCATTCATGAGAAACTTATGCACCTTGGCTACAATAAGACCTTGTTGACCCTTAAACGGGACTACTACTGGCCCGGTGTGGAGGGTGATGTGGCACTGGTTTTGAAAAGTTGCCACGACTGTGCATGAAGGAAAGTCCCAGTTGGCCAGGATCGGGCCCTGCTGCAGTCCATCAGGACTTCTCGTGTCAATGAGCTCATGGCACTCGACATTTTGGGCCCATTCCCAGCATCCCAATGGGGCCTCTTGGTACCTCTTGGTGGGAGTCGAGTACCTCACACGTTGGCCTATGGCGTGGGCTCTGGTGGACCAATCGGCCTCTTCCATCACTGAGGCGTTCGCACAAGGGTACGTTCTGGACAAGGGTGCGCCTGAACAACTGTTAACTGACCAAGGGCGGAATTTTTATTCCCGGTTGCTCAAGGAAGTCTGGGACCTCCTTGGCACCAAGAAAATCCGCACCTCGCCCTACCACCCTCAGTCCGACGGGATGGTAGAGAGGTTGAACCGCACCCTCACGTCCATGCTGTGCCACCACGTGAATACGTCCCAATCGGACTGGGACCTGTTCGTTCCAGGGGTTCTGGCCGCATATAGGTTGGCTCCTCATGCCTCAACGGGGTTCTCGGCCTTTTATTTAATGTATGGAAGGGAACCAGAGCCCCCGATGCACGTCCAAATGGACCTAGTGACTTCTAAAAAGGCATCGTTAGTGCCCGCTCCAATGAAAGTAGCGCTCGACCGGCTGCGCGAGGCACGGCAGGTGGCTGTGGGGAATTCGGCCAGTCGGCAGGCGGCTAACGAGCAGCTGCCCAAGCACCAATCTGCCGGCCTTCCGTGGAAACGGGGCCAGAAGGCGTGGCTCCACTGCCCCCAAGTACCGGTTGGCACGTCTCCCAAATTGCATCGCCCTTGGCAGGGCCCTGTTGAGGTCGTGGAGGTCCGTCGGCCACAATGTGTTCGTATTCGGTTCGGTCGCCGGCACTGGATAGTACACCCATCTTGGCTCAAACGATACGTACCGCCTAGCCTCGTTGAATCATCCCCACTTCCGGAGCGGCCGGTGATTGATGCGTCCGACTCACCGGGCCGCATGGATCGTGATGGCAGGAGCGATGTCCGCCTCGTCCGTCGGATGCCCCAGCGACGGGCCTGTCCCCTGCTGGCGTGCCGCCTGTGCCGGCAACCGATGCCGCACGGGGGAGCGGTCCTGCGGCACATACGCGCTCGAGGGGCATGCGGCTCCGGTGACGGCCAGTGGGGCCGTTTTCATCGACCTCCAGCCTTCGTCGCCCAGTTCCACGTTGTCCCGTGTGATGAAGGCCTTCGAACTTTATTCTATAGGGCCATTTTCATCTGCCTCCAGCCTTCATCGCCCAGTTCCACGTTGTCCCGTGTGATGAAGGCCTTCAAACTTTATTCTATTTTATTTTACTGTGCTGCCCAAATGTTGTGTTCATGTTTTGCAGACTGTCCCACCTTCACACACATGTCACATGGTTACGATAAGTGTTCTGTTGATGTCTTCCTGTCCGGGTTGCCGGGCTCCGCTTTCGCATTGGTTACAGCCGGGTCGGCTGATTTTTTCACGGGGGGGGGGGGGGGGGGTAATGTAGAGGAGTAGTTCGGGGACGTTACGTCACGCGAACCTTCCAGTGCGATTATGTCATAAGATGTGACGTCATGCGCGCCTTCCGGTGCAATGACGTCATGGGAAGTGACATCATGCGCGCTGGGTGGGGCGATGACATCATGTCTCCTCGGGGTACTTAAGGTGGACCCCGTAACGAAAGCGGGGTCATTGTGGGAGCCCGGGAAGGTGAACGGTGGAAGAGTGAACCAGGGGTAGGGCTCACGGAATCTGGAGAGAAGCCGGCGGTAGCGATAGGAGTGGCTGCTCTCCTCGGTCGGTCGGTGTTGGCTGATCCCCCGGCCGACGCAGAGGAGAGAGCCCGGGAGCTAGCTAAGGAACAGAGTGAAGGTCCGGGTGAAGGACTTAGTGTAGGACCCCTACCCCTGGAAAATAATTCTAAATCCCTTAATAAATACCCGGCGTAAGCCCTTACAGATCTGCCTCTGAGTTGTCATTTGCACCTCAACACATGTTACATCCTGATGTATAATATTGTGTTATATTTATTTTCATGACTTACAGGGGCGTTTCATTGTTGTAGCCACTAGCCAGACTTTTCAACGAGTCGGACCAGTGCTCCCCCCTATTAGTTTGGCTCGCCGGGGTTTTACTGCATGCACATAATTGAACCTTATGGCGGGACCCCAAGGTCCCATAAGCCCCCGGCTCTCGCGTAAACTGTGTTGCGACGTCATTTTAAGTCTGTTGAAGGCGAACAATACAGAAATCTATTCCTCTTGACGAGCTATACACGATGCGCTAATACAAGTTTCAAAGTTTTGTTTCTTCTGCGCATTCATCCTCGCTGCGCTTGGACATGACAACAGAATGATCTGCGCCAGGAGGGTGGTGGCATTTATGTGCGCGGTGGGACGGAGTCGCCAAATTTTTTTTGATAATTTACGATTTTGACTTCCGTTTATTTGGGACCCCGGGGTCCCGCCATAAGGTTTATATGCTTCTGTGAAACACTCGTTCACTGTAGCGACTTGGGATTTCAGGTGGATGGATCGCACAGGAATATTATGCCGTTGACCAGTTAGAATCCAGAGGTAGGCCACTGTGACATACGCACGTGCTTTGGCTCTGCGGTGCCTGCAGAAGCCAGTACAAAGTGGGTTTGTGACGGGATGTCTCTGGGGTGTGTTGAGTGCTCTCTGGCATGCATGGGGTTTCTCCGGTTTCAAAGAAAATAATGCAAAACAAATGGACAAACATCCCAAGCAGGGTGTTTATAATACCACTGCAAAAGGCTCATTGAGGGCAAATGTTGTTTAAAAGCACATGAATATGGTCCAACATTATCATTGACAAGTGCAAAACACATTTCACACCAAGCTTTATTGAAATAATTGTAATTACACCAACAGTACAAGCTGTATTATTGTGAGAATTTTAAGCGTTTACTTCTATTTCTCATTTATTATCAATGCTATTAGAACTGCTCTACATGATTTCTGAGTAGATGCAACAAAAACGTAAATGTTATGGATAACATAAATGGATAATATAAGCCACTCTACAGATAACATAAACCACATAAACGAATCATGATACAGAGTTAACATGCTAATTATTGTCTCATTGCTATACTGTTGAGCCATGAGTAGGGTATATATGTATAAAGCCAGAAGAATAGCGATTCCAGCATTTAAAACTGGGCTGCATAATAAAACAAGTGCTCTGTTTTAGTATCCTTTGAAATCTGACAATGAAATTTAAGTAGAAATAGCAACTTAATCATAATAATATATTCAAAATGTAATTATCCCCCTGCAAATGTAATATATAGTCAACTCATGATTATGCGGGATATTGAAGGGCAGGGGGGTGGCCAGATAATAATAATAAAAAAACATTTTTCATCACGGATGCGAATTAAGCTCTACAATCTTTGGAGAGTAGGGGCGATGACACAATGTGTCGTCCATATTTTTTTGTAAAAGGCTTTCCTGCATGTGTGTGATCATGGAGAAAACATGGTTAAAGGCATCCTGGATAATCACCTCACCGATAATTGAGATAACTGTATATGTGCATTATGACTCGATAAGGTTGTTGCATTTTCCTGCAAAGCAGCAATGATTGAGAAAAGTTGCTGATTTGTGCATTGGCGCAAGGTGCATCACATGGCTTCCATTGTGGTGGTTTACTGACTTTGTTACATGGCCATGACATCACTAGTAAGCTATATTGTTACAGAGTAGAGTGGGCTTGAGAATCTATACTACTTAAAGAGATATGACTTAAAACTATGAGTGTATTTTTTTATGAATACCATGTCTAAATTTTATAATTCCCCAAAATCAACTTAAAAACTACCAGAGTAAACATAACCTTCTAATGTATCCCAAAATTTGTAAATTTAAGTTTCAAAAAATTTAATGAGAAATAAAATCAGGTGTCTTCAGTGATTGATTGTTGTATTGCAACAACAACCCATCTTAAACTTATTCAAGAGAAGGTGTTCAGTTTTCCTCCATAGCCTTTATGATCTCAAGAACAGTTTCCATGTCCAAGTCTGAAATGAAAAATCAACATGTTCTCATTTGGATGTTGACACTTCTGGTTGGTAAGCAGCCACGCATGTATTTATACATCTTCCCACATGTATGCTCATACATTTCATCGACCACAAGACCTTGCACTTGCTGGTTTATGATGTACTTACTTGACTCACATGGTTAATAAGCACCGGATTGATTTATTGATCATGCATTGACAATGTCTATTTTCCACGTTAATTTGGCTACAAAGATTTACAAAACATAAAACTAAGCATTTGCAAATAATGTCCTTTGTTTTGGTACAGCTACTACTGATAAGTGCCACTGAACTTCTGGGCTGGTGAAGTGCTACCTGTAACATCGCTGCTGGGTTATTAACTGGGTTGATTTATGCATTTGTTCTGAATATTCTGGTGTAAAAAAAAGTAAACTTTTGTTCTGAACTATGGAGGATAAAAAAATACTAACTTTAGTTTAGTCTAGGCTGTTGAAATTGTTGAAAGCTAATGACTGTCTTTTCTGCTTAAAAAAAACACTGATAATATATGCATTGTCTGCATTCTGACCACAAGCATTGTGGTTAATGCAGACATGATTCCTTGTAAAAGGTTTCAGGTGTTTTAACATCTGAACACCTGTTTTGTTAGCAGTACAAAGGGGAAAAAACCTTTTATCATATTTTGATACTGGCAAAGGAGGTCCCATGATGTCTATAATTACTGGTTGCTAAACAGATTTTTTTATCTGATGAAACATGTAAAGTAAAACTAGTTGGACTCAGTTAAGGGTAAGCTTGAAAGGCTACCTGAAAATAAAAAAGAAAGAATTTAAAAATAAATGTAACCAAAAAACATGGTCTGGAATAGTTCGCATGGGAAGTAAATAATCTGTATTTTGTGGCATTTTGCAATGTGTACTTCTGTAAACTACGTGGTCCGCTGCTGATGACATGCTATTGTTTTTATAGATTATTAATATGCATCAATCAAGCATTAATTTAATAAACATATATTTAAACAGTCAATTATATGTATATTATTGGTTCTTTCGGTAATGTCACATAGAAGCGAAACAATATATGCTTAATTTAACAATATATGCTTAATTTATAACAACTTGGAACAGATATACATAAAAAGTAAATGCACTGCACTCGTGTGTGCCTGGTAAGCATTGTGTTTGAGTGATAAGCAAAGGAAACCTGGTTTGCAGGGAGTGATGCTGTGCTTAATACTGTTTAAGGAACACTCCCCATTCAGGGCAGAGGTGAACCAATGCTCCACCACGATGGTGCCAATTGCGAATGCAATGTACTTAATTTTATGTGACGGATATCCATTTACCTTGTATACATTAATGAACATTTAAAAAACGTTTTAAAGAGTAATGGGACGAATCTAGTTTTCACAAAAAAAAATTACGTACTCTTTGGTTCTTTCGTAATACCTACCACGTGACTTTACCGAAAGAACCAAAATAATACCTAGGTAATACCTACCACGTGACTTTACCGAAAGAACCAAAGAGTATGGATCCCTGCAGTCACGAAAACTTCAAATCTAGATAAAATTTAAGTACTTTTAAATTACCCGATTGTGTTCTGCAGTAAAAATGTGACCCATATGTAAGTGTTCTTACCTATCTTCAAGTGAAATAAAAAAAATATTAACACAGCTACCATTACTGAAACTGCCAAAAAGACTTAAAATCGTTATTTTCTTGAGTAGAGCCAACTACACTCTCGCAAAAACACAGCTTACCGTCGTCATCTTGCTTTCGTTTTGGGGGACTGGAAGCTGCTCCTCCTGCTGGATCTGAAGAACAGTGAAGAAGTCAGCAGGGAAATGTAACCTCAACCATACATTGTTATGTAGAGTCGTGCTAAACCCAATCTATATTAGCAATAACATTTGCTAGACTGTCGCAACATTTACTTGAATAATTCACATCATACAGGTTCCAGGCAGGGATTATTCTAACCAGAGGCATGTATGGACATATGGTATTTAATTTCTGGTGATTGCTGAATTGTGGCAATCTGGAAAGTGTAAATGGTGAGTGTCAGGTGGTACATAACTGGTGAGTTTTTGCTGATGTCTATGAGTTGTCAAGTTAATTTGAATTTGAGTAGTGTCAGGTGAGTGGTGAGTGTGGTGATTGCTGAGTTCTAAGTGGCGAGTGGTGCAGTGAAAGTGGTGACTAGTGAGTGTCAGGTGACTAATGTCAGGTGTGCATCAAGTGCGGGTCAGGTTTCACGTCACTGTCCATAGGATGGGCTTCCCTCGAGTTGGAAATAAAAATTATTTAAATCACACCATTGACCTACAGATGTTATTATGAGTAATGTAACATTAATTGTAATCTCTAGAGAGTTATATGGATCCATTGGTTAAAGTAAAGATCAATCTGTGGAGTGGTGAGTGTAAGAAAATATTTACCAAATACACACCACTGCAAGAAATAATGTTGATGAGGTCTGAATTAAACCTTGCGCACTTAGCCATGTTTACTGCATCCCATAGGCCATACAACATTTAGCTTGAATTATGCTATGTATGTGCGATTCCTACGCTGCATTGAATATAATTGCAACTGTTGCTATATTTGCTTTAGAGAAGATTTTGCAATGAAACAATACCAAACATTGATGGATATATTTCAGAAGCCTACATGAAGGCAATAACAGGAATTTGTTTCAACACAATGTATTATTTGAATAAATCATACTTTAAATTAAAACATTGCTGTTTTCATTTACGTTAGCAAATACATGCTTTTATTCCAACTTGCTAAAGATGCATCTCAGGCTCTGATGCTGCTGAAACCTACATCTACACATGAGTGACAGTGGTGCATGTGGTTGGAGCTGCCTTGTCTACCAAGCCCAACAGAGCAGTACACCGTACCATTCTGCTTGAGTTTTGGAGGGTGGGAATCGGCTGCCACCGCGAGATCTGAAGGAACAACAGAGAGCTCGTCAGCTAAATGCAATCTGGAATAAAGCATTAAGTCATACTTACTATCATATTTCATGCACAGATATGGGAGAAACCTGATCAAAATGGGAAACAAAATTGTAATTATTTTTTTTAACGCACAAGTATGCTGAAGTTAGTCAGATTGAAGGGAGATTTTTAAAAAAATCACAGAATTATACAACTTAATGCAGCCTTTGTAATGCCTTGTTTTCAAATTAAACCCAGAACAACCCATGGAAGCAAATGCTCACAAAATTCAGGACCACTTGAAATGCGTTATGACTACTAATTATATGCACCTTTTCGTGACAAATCACAAACAGGATTCCCACACATCTGTTTTTGTTACATAACTTCTACATTCCAAATTTCTAATTTTATATGATTAAATATTTCATTGCATACAACAAAACGGCCAGAAAGTTGGATCTGAACAGGATCAGAAAGACAACCACAAAAGCAACTCTTTTGTCGAGACGGCCTCCTCCCCTTACAGCCATCCAATCCACTCAATTTAACACTACAGACTGATAATCAAGTAAAATGAGATTTTAATGAAACAAGTCACCATAATAAACTCATGTTTTCCAATTGTTTTTATGAAGACTAGTCTATTCAAATTACTGTGGAAGAGCACTTAAAGCCAGATTTAGAGAAATTAGCTAAATGAAAGATTGTCATAGCTATGATTCAGAAAATCAATCAATTTGAATGGCTGCCTGGGGTCAAATTTCATGACTTTTATATATTTGGCTATTTTCCATGACTTCCATGATATTTTTTTTCCCCAGGATTTACCATGACCGTGGAAATTATAAGGTGTCAAAGTACTGTACAATTGAACATTTCAACACTTACAAAAGTAGGTATATATATCAAAGTGCGTCAAAAATATTGCACCAAGTTATTGGTATAGTGCTCTAGGGTATTAATGTCAATTTTCAACTGTGACTTAAAAACATCGACAGTGCCCTTTTGGTGGATATGGTTGGGGAGACCATTCCACTTGAGTGGAGCCACACAGTAGAAGGCCTGGTCCCTCCTTGGACCACTAGTGGCAGCTCTCAATAGGAGGCAATGAGAGACAACAACCCCAAGGTTTGCAAACCAAAGCAGTATCGTGTTGGGTGCCAATTAATTGCAACTTGGAGTCCATGCATTGTAAAAAAACAAGTGCCGGTCTTTCCCTGGCGTTACAGCGGTTATAGGAGTATTGGATTCTTCATGTTATAAACACCTTTGGGAGACATTCTGATGAATTCGCTGCCATGGTAATCTACCATAAAATTAGCCAAATACGTGTCACTTAATGATAATTGAAACTCGGAAGCAAGATTTGTTGCATCTCCGAGTATAATGAATATGCTGCTACTGTCATTAAGCAGCTATGAATTTCCAAATGATCTCATATCTAAATGACACAACACACATCAATGAGAATGTTAAGACTGAATTGTTATGAACAACACTTTAATGACTGATGCTGCAAGAGTTACTTCGAGTCACTGCCGACACCGACATACTGGACCATACCTTTGAAGTCGAGGAGGCCGTCAAGGTCATCGCACATGTCTGCTAGAGCTGGAGCTAAATGAACAGGAGATGAAACAGGTTGTTAGGCAGCTCAACTTCATGACTTGCATATGCACATCTCCTTACACAGCAGCAGAATATCAATTCAGAGCCAACGTGCAATACAGGGGCACTGCGCAAGTGGTGGAATCTACAATCCATAGATGGAGACCAGTCACTCAAAAGGAAATCTTCACTTCCCACAGTGTCAATTTTATTGACCTCAGAGAGATGATAGGCTAACATGAGTCAAAAACTCAGAATCTTCTGATTGTAAATTAAGTGCTCAAAGCAAACCGATAAAACCAGTTGGATATACAGTAGTCAAATGCACAGTAGTTAACATGTTCAATGTAAAAAAGAAAAAGAGGAAATGTTTGTTTTAAGTGGTTGTTACATTCTGACATTTTCAACAGTAGCAGTGCCAGTGTTAATCCAAAGTTTATAAATCTCCCATGATGAATCATTTGTGTACACCTGTATTCTTCCCTTGTGAGGACTGAACTTCCATGAAAATAAGAGGCAACTTCTTCCTGGATCAAATTATTTCATATAGTTTCTAAGTGTGTGTATATTACAAATGAATACGTTTATCGTATGAAGGCATGGAATGTAGATTTGTAAAGTTAGGTATGAAGGTTATAAGAGTAGGGCACAATTTTGGACACAATTTAATGTTAATCTATTGCAATCTTTCCAGACCACAGGATGTACACTCCATAACATTACTCCACACTCCATAAAACTACGCATGCACCAGAACGCTGCATTAAACATGAATGTTGTTAAATAGGTTAAACCCAGCCCTGTATGTAGCCGAGCAGCCTTGGGTGAAAGCCATACGACTCAAGCAAAACGCTCAATACCACGAGTATATGTTTGACGATTCATGTTAATGTAGTTTTGAAGTCCATTTGACTTCGAGAAAAATCCACGACCATTCGCTAACCTTAAATGTTTTTTTTTTGCAAAATTACATAAACTCCTGTCAGATTTGCAAGTACAGCATCATGTTCATGTCTCAGCACAGTAAATGTAATGTTCCCGAGGAAATTGAAAAGTCCCTTCTCTACTATTGAGCTCAGACTATAGAAATATAAACTATTTTTATTTTACCAGGTAAAGCCCACTGAGCTATATAGCTCTTTTTCAGAATTGACCTGGCCACAAATGATAGTTCAACGAAGTGGGTTATCATGTGGACATTTATAGTCGCCAAATACTCTAAACGCATGTTTCTAAATATGGAGGCAAAAACCAGAGACTGGGAGAAAAATCCACGACCATAGCGAGAACATGCAAACTCCAGTTATACAGGCGTCGGGGTCGGGATCGAATCCACTACCTCCTGTATACCAGGCGAGGTAGTGAACATCTCGCCACCATGGCGCCTCAAATATACATCCATATAATGGGTGTACACACATATTTTAGTAGTAGTTGTTTTCAAACAAGATAAAATGAAACATGACTTACTCTCCTTTGCAGAGAAATTCATCATCATTGTCAAAATATCTGCCATGGCTTCCTGCAGCTTGATTCCCAAGCTGCCTGGAGGAGGAAACTGCTGCAGAGACTTGAACAGATCTGGAAAATGGAGTCATGTGGGGGTTACAGATCACAAACAGAGGCACGCTTTCTGGTTTGCTTGAAACCAGTGTAATGTAATGCTACATCGATAAAAAAACAAAGTAAAGTAAAGTTCGTGTTTAAAAAGGCCATTGATGGCACTCGTGCAATGTTTACGTACCAGCACCTCCTGCCCGCAGGAAGGCTGCTTTTATGTTCATTTTAACCTCAATGGGAAGCTCCAAGTTCATGATGGCAGGAAGGGTTTTGAGCACTTCAACTGTCTTGCGCTCAAAGCTGTCAGAAAGATAAACGCATATAAGTTAACCACATTGTCTTCTTCCAAATGTACTCGCTTAATTACAGCCAATAGGCAAACATATAGCAACAGTGAGCAAAGAATAATTAAAGCAATGCTGTACCAGTGCCACCACGGTGTGTGCGACATAGTTCAGGTGCAACAACACATGCAGTGCTCTATACAGTTTGCTTCTCTGCTCTCTGTCAAACTATCCTAGGGTAGATGCGTTAACGTGTTCAGACGAGCAGCAATAGCATTGCTTCCACAGTCCCAAAAGTAACTCAACAATCAATTCAGACTCAACAGTAAATCAGAACAAGTTAGTTTGACATAACTTTTTTTATGACTAGCTTTTACATAAGGCTCAGGGACATTGTCATTTACAAACAAAATGCAAGAACAGCTAAAAGTGCACAACAGCGTAGAGAGGTGCATGCTTGGGATTGTGTGAAAAGATAGAGAGAGGAACATCATATTGAGTGTTAAGGAAAGTAATGGGCAGGTCACTGAAAGGAACTAGTTAGCTTGTCGCTGCATCTGCAGCATTACATTTTTGCTGCCTGCTACGCTCATTTGATTATATGTTTTAATTTCTTGAATTCAGCAGGGAGGTTCACGGTTGAAGAACTCATCTATATGCAGATTTGTCTTTATTTCCTGCACCCCCCCTCCCTCTTTAGGCCCCTGCCCGTTCCCACGGGACTTGTTTTTTCGCGTGAGACTTGGCAACTCTGGACTAAAACAAGTTGATCTGATAGAGCATGAGTGGGTAGTGGTGGTGGAAGGGGTGGCAGTGTGCACGTGCAGCAGTAGGTAGTGGAGGGTGGGGAGAGTAGACGGGGGTTTGGCAGCTTCACGACAACGACCAAACTCTTACAGCAAGACGATAATATGATCACTCAAAATATGTTTCGGCTGGTAAGGCGCATTGAGCTAAGAAACTCTGTACAAGCATTATTAGCCCAACACTGTGGGCAGTGGCAGCAGTTATAGGACACGACAGGATGGGAATGTGCAAATTAACAAGAGAAATGATGGGCAGTGATCAAGAATAACGACAGTGTTCAGACAAAGGAGTGAACGTACACAGGAAGAAATCAATAATAAAAGGTTGAGATGGTTGTCATTGCAAGACAGTGATATATGTTGATGGCTTGGGGAGTACTTCATCCAGCGGACAACAGATCATGGCTGCTGATGACTACTAGGGTTTAAAGCATTAAAAATGCACGTGTATAGTTGCTACTCACCAGTATTCCTTCTTCAGATGAGTTACGAGTTTTATAATGGGCTCAATCGCACCTTCATCCCATTCTGAATCTGTAACAGTATGGCATAGAATGCAACCCATGCTTTAGATCGTTAATTTAAGCATCACAGCAAGCAATGCATTCATGCAGTCCGGAGTCACATACAAGTAGGTAAATATATACATTTTTGATAACTGGTTTTCCGTTATATTTGAATAAAGTAAGGATAGTAGGTTGTTGTGATATAGACCACAAACATGGAAAAAAATGAAAATGGAGTAAATTTAATGTAGACATGAATGAAAATTATTCAAATCTGTCGGCGAACAGCAAACAAGTCTACATCATTATATGGACAGTTTTCTAAATGCTCTATGGGACAACATTTATCTCCGACAAAACAACAGCCTATATTTAATGTTATTGTGTATTGCTGCTGGTTGTATTTCTGCTGCTGGTATTGATGTTGCTGTAATAATCACTGCTTTTCCATTATTACTTCAATTTTCTTTTTTACAAATTATAATTATCGGACATGCCATTAGAGAGCAGCATTATTACACCTTTAATACTTGGGCAACGTATCAACTGTGAGGTTTGACATCAGCTTTGAAATTCTAAAGACCAAGTTAGATTTTCAGCTCCCAATTATTTCCAGACAAGTGTTTTGAACTTTTTGTTGTTGACTTCACATCAGTTTGTATTTGGAGGCTTAAAAGTTGCTGAATACAAATATCAAAAGCACATTTTTGATGTAAAATTTGCTTATGCACTTTGTTAGAGTGTCACACTAAAACCAGAAGAGGACACTGCCTTCTGCCAGTTATCAGTACCGCAAAGAGAGAAAATTATTTAATTGTTGTACAGTAAATAAAAAACAAAGTGGTAACTGAGAAAATCATTAGGCATGAACAAAAATAGTCCCGGTTAAAAAAAAACGTGACATCAACAAAAAATTCTTGATTTTAAGCTTTCGAGACTGCAAGGGTTCATACTCTTTGGTTTTTTCGGTAAAGTCACGTAGGTAAAATAAAATAAGTGAAAACAACTAAAATAAATCACGACGTTTCGGAGGCAACACAAGCTTCCGTCTTCAGGTGGAAACCGTCACAGTAAAATTGCTGTATCAAGTGAAGAGAGCTCTAAGAGACCCGAGATTATATAGACAGGTTAAGGGGGGGGGGGAGGAGCCAGGAAGGGCCGTGGGGGGGGGCTAAGTTAAGCAGCCTTTTGTTATGCTGCAGGGGGTTAGGGGGACGGAGAGGCGATGGCGAGCGGTTGTCGAAAATGAGATAAACCAACTGGAAGAAATGGAAATGGCTGCACAATTATAAGGCAGCTAAAGTTTGACTTGGTTTATGACATCTTTCCAATGATTGCTTAATTTAAAACCATCCTCTCGGTTGAAGTTTTGTCTATGTTTGTATATCTGGATGGCTTCATGGACAAATCTTTGGTAGTATCCGGGAGGTTTGCAGAGTACTTTGATATCGGAGAAAACAATATCATGAGAACCCGCTGTGTTGAAACAATGATCAGCTACAGTCGAAGAATTCGTTCTACCGTGTTTCAAATCTGATTTGTGCTCGCGAATTCGGTCAGAAATATGTCGTTTCGTCTCCCCAATATAGCAGTCACCGCAGGTACAACTCAATTTGTAAACACCGGGGTACTGCAAGTCAGGAATGACATCCTTTACGGATGGGATCAGATCAGGGATTTTGTGCACTGTATTGAACCGGACCTGGATCTTGTGTTTGTTTAGAATTTTGGAAATCTTTTTGGTAACGCCTGCTATGTATGGCAACGTGATGATTTTGATCGGAGTTTCAGGTGGTTGTTTCTGTATGGTGGGAGAAACAGCTTGGCGGATAGTATGGTCAGAGTATCCGTTCATCTTGAGGGCCAGATGTACATGTTTTAATTCACTGGCCAGGTGATGTTGGTCAGAAATGCAATGTGCCCTTCGGTATAGTGTTTTGATGAGGGAATTCTTTTGAGCTGGGTGGTGGTGGGAATCAGGCTTCAAGTAGGAATCTGTGTGGGTGGCCTTCCTGTAAACAGAATGTCCCAAAGAGCCATCAGGCCTCCTCTCAAACAGAACATCCAAGAATGGCAGCTTGCCATCTTTCTCCACTTCCATGGTGAATTTGATGGATGGGTGTCTGGAATTGATGTGGTCTAGGAAATGGTTCAATGCTGGGAAGCCATGTGGCCAAATGACGAAAGTGTCATCCACATATCTCTTCCACAGGGAAGGACGAAGGGTGGATGGTCTGGATGGCGTCTGATTCAAATTTCTCCATGAAAACATTGGCTATCACTGGTGACAAGGGGGAACCCATAGGGGTACCCTTATTTTGTTTGTAAAAGGTACCATTCCAGGTAAAGTAAGTGTTGGTGAGGCAGTGCCTAACCAGCGCAGGTGCATCAGGGTTCAGTCCATGTTGGACCAAGACTTCAATTATTGTTTTGGTGTCAGGCACTGGGACTTTGGTGAACAGAGAGACCACATCAAAGCTGACGAGGATATCGTCAGAAGACAGTACAATGTCCTTGACCACAGAAACCAATTGTGTTGAGTTAAGTACTGCTGAGGTGGTCTTGCCAGTGAAGGGAAGCAGAGTATCCGATAAAAAAACAAGCTAGCTTGTAAGTAGGAGAGTTGGTCGTGGACACGATGGGCCGTAGTGGGGTACCTTTTTTATGGATCTTGGGAAGACCATAGAATCTGGGAGGTCTTGCAGCCGAGGGTTTTAGGGAGAGACGTTTGGTTGGTTCGATTAGGGAGGTCGAACTTGTGATGATCTTGTTGGTTTTTGTCGTTAGGCTGTTAGTAGGATCACTTTTAATTTTGGAGTAACTCCCATCATTGAGTAGGTCCTGGATTTTGTTGTTGTATGAGTTTTATTCATGATAACAATAGCATTGCCCTTGTCAGCCGAGAGGATGACTATATCATCCCTCTTTTTTAAATTCGCGAGTTCACAACTTCAACCGAGAGGACGGTTTTAAATTAAGCAATCATTGGAAAGATGTCATCAACCAAGTCAAACTTTAGCTGCCTTATAATTGTACAGCTATTTCCATTTCTTCCAGTTGGTTTCTCTCATTTTCGACAACCGCTCGCCGTCGCCTCTCCGTCTCCCTAACCCCCTGCAGCATAACAAAAGGCGGCTTAACTTTGCCCCCCCCCCACAGCCCTTCCGGGCTCCTCCCCCCCCCCCCCCCCCCCCCCCCACTTAACCTGTATATAATATCGGGTCTCTTAGAGCTCTCTTCACTTGATACAGCAATTTAACTGTGACGGTTTCCACCTGAAGACGGAAGCTTGTGTTGCCTACAAAACGTCGTGATTTAATTTAGTTGTTTTCATTTATTTTATTTTACCTATGTGACTTTACCGAAAAAAAACAAAGAGTATGAACCCTTGCAGTCACAAAAGCTTAAAATCTAGAATTTCTTGTAGATGTCACGTTTTTTTTTAACCTGGACTATTTTTGTTCATGCCTAATTATTTTCTCAGTTACCACATTATTTTTTATATACTGTAGAACAATTAAATAATTTTCTCTCTTTGTGGTACTAATAACTGGCAGAAGGCAGTGTCCTCTTCTGGTTTTACTGTGACACTAACAAAGCACATAAGCAAATTGTACATCAAAAATGTGCTTTTGATATTTGTATTCAGCAACTTTTAAGCCTCCAAATACAAACTGATGTGAAGACAACAACAAAAAGTTCAAAACACTTGTCTGGAAATAATTGGGAGCTGAAAATTTAACTTGGCCTTTAGAATTTCAAAGCTGATGTCAAACCTCACAGTTGATACGTTGCCCAAGTATTAAAGGTGTAATAATGCTGCTCTCTAATGGCATGTCCGATAATTATAATTTGTAATTTACACGATGGATTATTAATTCAAAATATGAATGTTAATGTTGTTAAATATATTAACATGCATTCCAAACAACTGAAACCAGTCCATAGTTAACATTAATATGACCATATAGTATGTACACATTTTTATCATGTATTATCTTTTACATGGTTTCCTAACTGCATGAATATGTATTCTTACACGTTTGACTGCTTATTTCAAATAATCCAAAATGTTAAATTAAATCCCAATCGATCTGGGATCATAATCATCGAATCATACATTGAATCGGCATCACATTCAGGTCTTGCTCTGAATCATGTGGTTCTCCCCATCCAAGGAAAAATGTGCCAACATTTCCTGCAAGTGATGGAGGAGCTGATTGTTGATAGATTCCATCACTTTGCATTGCAATGAAGCGAAGGCGATAAAACAATAATTACATATACAAGAGGGATCACCCTTTTTTGGATGGCAAATTGCTAGGCAAATGCAGCAAATTGAGGAGGGAGAAATGTGTTAGTGGAAGCATGTTATAAACATGTTTGTAACCTGTGTATTCTTTAGAAGTCTGGAACACGACCACAATCTGTTTGTGTTTAATCGACTTTGAGATCATGTTGAATTGGTTGGATGGAATTCCTAGAGGTGTTTAATAACACTGGAGTAGACTGCGAGGGCAGATAGCTGATCACGTCACTGTAATGGGGCAGACATCTGTGATTGGAGTCACAGATGAAGAGTCAAAAGCAGAAATGAAGGGAACTGGATTGAGACAGGGATGCTCACTATATCCAATATTAGACATGTATGCAAATGGTGAATAAAATGTAGATTCTAGATTTGAAGTTTTCGTGACTGCAAGGATCCATACTCTTTGGTTCTTTCGGTAAAGTCACGTAGGTAAAAAAATAAAAAAATAGAAATAAATCACGACGTTTCGATTGCAACACAAGCAATCATCATCAGGTGTGACAACCACAGCAAGATTAGCAAATGTTAGGGGTCAAAGGGTAAAGTCAGTCAGGTGTTGTGATGGCAAAGCCCTCATGGCTGGTTCTGAAAAGGGACTAAAGATGCTGGAAGAAGTTGAATGGGACAGCAAGGGCTTATAAAATGAATTGTAACAAACCAAAATCAAGAAAATCACACAAAGGCAGAATTGTGTTAAATATCACTGGATGGTCAACAGCTAAAACAAGTGAGATGGATGGGTGAGCAGGGAACCAAAGAAGATGATTGTAAAGACCCAAGTGTTTAGTGTAGTGTTAATTTCAGCACACATGGACACAGAAGAGGGAATACTGGAACGTTTTGAGATGTGGTTGTGGTGTCAAATGGAGAAAATCAGCTTACTGGAAAGATAGTGTAACAAACAAGCGTAAGAGTGGGTTCAGAAAGAGAAGTGAAATTGGAAGAATTCTGGGAAAATCAGAGACATAGATAAGGCACGGTGTCAGAGAAGATGGCTTGCTGAAGGAAGCTCAAGAAGGATACTGGGGAAAGGCCAAAAGGTAGACAGAGGAAGGCACTGCTTGATGACTTGAAACAATGTGGCTATATGTCAATATGATATGGAAATCACAAGATCAGACAGGACAGAGGCATTTTGAAAAAAGAACCTCCCCTGAGGCAGCAAACTCAAGAAGACCACCGATTGTTTTTCTTACCGATTTCTTTTGTGAAGCTCATCAGTAGCTCAAACAAGAGCTCAGTCACCATCTGGATTGGTGCCTCTGAGTCGTCTGGGGAGGGAGACTCCTGCATCTTCTTGAGAAGTTCTGGGAACCCCACACAGATCCCATGAGATCATGAATAAGCATAGTAATTCACTTCATTCATTTTCATCCTCAGACTTTATGTATATTACTCCGGGTTGTTACGAGATAGATCTCAAATAAGCCTACACAAAAATTGTCAACGTGTCAGCACTCACCTGCGCCACCATCCAGCACAAAGATTGTTTTCATGGCGATCTTTTCACTCTTTGTGCTGTCAAATGTCATCATCTCAATCAGTCTGTTCAGAGTCTGCACTGTAGAGTAGTCAAATCTGTCCGTGGAAAGGGGTTAAAATATATTAGATGGCAATGCTGCTGGTGTAGTGAAAAAATCTTGGTTGATAATGATCTGAAAAATTTGTGAAAGTTCATTTTATACAGCCTGAATAACTTCTCAACAGTTTTGTATGTCTGTAGTAACAAGAAGACTCACTAAGGCGCTGTGAGACCTGTTGTGAGTTATATGTGAAGCACACAGTAGCTGTAACTTGAAAAATGCCACCAGAAAACTTTCAAATTCCAGGTATCCTCATGTTTACCATGGTTAGAGAATCAGAATCTACCCAGTTTTCAGAGCACAGAAAACGTTTATATGCCAAGTCGAAGAAACTTAATTACATTTAATATAGTGTAACATTTAATATTCTAAACAGTTCTTTTTGTAATTGTCCAGCAAAGTATATGTACCAATTAACCTATTTTATTTGTTTTAAAATGTAGCTTTGGCTTTTATCAGGATAGTATCATCAGCCATTGTATCTCCACTATTGGATGAAGCCTTCCGTACCATATGCTGTTGCCATTCATCAGAGTCTAGTCTGGTAATTTCCATCTTACTCCTGCACCTAAGCTGATCTCATTGCACCATCTCCACAGTGGTCATTCTGTTGGACACGTTCTCTCCTTGTCGGCCATCATCCCATCTAGCACTGTGTCCTGCCCAAGAGATTAATGCCAGAACATGCGAACCCCAAAGGAGGCCACTTTAACCATCATTGCAAGTCCCTTATCTGGCTGCAAGGCATGCACGTGCTTAACAGCAGCCACCGGCTTCTCACCTGGACAGCTTCTTCAGGTCTCGAACTATCTCCCTCACTGGCTCCAGTTTCTTCATATCCAGGCCTATAATAGACAAACACCACCGTGACGTTTAATAAACACAAGCAAGCACTATTCCTGTATGTAACGTCAGCAATGGAATTCTTAAAAATACAAACAAAAAATTCCAATCCACAGATACAAATTTAGATTATTTAAATAGTAAACAAAAAAACATAGTAATTTTCCAATCCACTTTTGGATGCAGATTTCCCCCATACCTATCATTCATGGTAGTTACTGGACCATACTTCTCCATGCTGGTTATTGTAAAGGGTTGGGTGAGGGCCAGGATCAGGACCAGTTCAGATATCGCTCACCTCTGACTTTAACCGTGGCTGGGAATTGAACTCGGCTAGTCAGGTTCATAGCGCTAATCCGATCGTGTTGTTTACGATAACATAAAAACAATTGTAATTCTCACGCAGAATGAGTGCCTTTAGAATGTTAGCTTAGAGTAGCAGGACATATCACTAGAACACAATGGCCAAAGGAAGAGGCTGGTGACCAAGTGGCAGCCAAAGTCGAAAATGCACAACAGAGGATGACTACTGTGGAGGTGGAGCAATAGCATTAGTCCACGTGCAGGAGTGACATGGACTGTAGCATCACAGCACGATGAGAGAAGGCGGAGTCTTGGGGAGGCCTTCAGCAGTGGACAGATTGTGGCTGAAGAAATTTATGACTGACTTGTGTTTAGGAAAGTACTATAATGGCAATTGGTATTGCCACTACACACAAACAACAAGACATAATTACTTATAGACTTGCAACATTAAAAATATATACTTAAAATAATAAAAGTATATTTTGTTGTTATGAAACTTTGCAGCTCCAATACACTGAACCAGGCTGAGCATCCACAATCCACCTTGAAGACAGTCCCCCCCCAGGCCACGAGTTGGAGACTAAAAGACTAAGCAAGGCTGCTCCTTGTCGAAGCAGCTGGCACTCACCCTGCTCTGCAGCTGCCATGGTCATGATCTCCAGAATGAGCTTTGTCACCGTGTGCAGGGAAAACTGCGAGCCGTCCGAGCATGGAGACTTCCTGATCTTCTCAAACAGCTCTGTGAGAACGAGACGTCTTAGGAATACCAAACACGACGTGTGATTGCTCTTATAGAAACTGAGTGCCGCATAAAATATCTGATGTATGATCATATACAAGATTACCAAACGCTCAACAAAAATATGTTTTAGAAATAATCGCCACAGCACATAGTTGATCACTTCCATGCATTTTCCATAACTTTCCATTGCAATAACAGATACCTCAGTATATCTACTGAAAATTTTAAAATACTTGTTTTTACCATTACAGGCAGTCCTCGGGTTACGGAAGACCAACTTACATTACCCGGGGACTTCCTGTATTTATCATTACATTGTTTTATCCTGATACATAAAAATATATTGAATGCAAAATTTACCATATCATGTGTTGTGCTAAATTGTAATACAATCAAGTGTTATTCAGATGATAAGAATTGGTATTTCATAAAATTACTCTTGAATTATTTTATTCAGCAAGACTTATAAAAGAGAAATGGTAAGTAAAATATAATACATGTGTACATTAATTAACTAATACTATGTTTGATGAGATTATACCATGTAATGTGTCAAATAAACATGATTTGCTCTTATGAACAAAATAAGCAGAGTGTGAATTAAATCTCACCATTTCACTTAAGCAGACATCACAGTTAGTACGTTGTCAGGGACCAACCCTCTAGTAATGATGGGAAACAATTATTTGTAACTCTCACAAGCAATTACAGTTATGTTTAATGTGTGAATAAGATTAAATCCTGAATACATTCGCTAGTACAGGCGCACAGTCACATAAATATAATCCACACACCTGGGCCACCAGCCTTGACAAAGAATGTCTTTAGGGCAACTCTCTCCTCCACGTTTAAATTTGCAATTGTCAGTGTCTCATGCAGACTGGTCAAGATGTGCACTGCAGAGTCGTCAAAGCTGAAAATACATGTACATCATGACTGCAATTGTAAATAACACTCCAAAAACATTATCTTTTTACGTTTACTCAGACAAAATGTGACAACTTATAATAATTTACAGGTGGGTGAAGTTTATGATACTTGTGATTTTTAGCAGGTATCTTTGCTTGTGGGTGGCAAGTGCAGTTTCTGAAGAAAACGCATACAGAGGCTGCTTCATGCTGTTAAATTTTAATGGCAATGGGTCACCTTGACATTTAAAAACGGTTCCCCTAACAGTACCACACATTTAGAAAGCACAACTGCAAACCATTCACATGGTATATCCGAATCCAATTTTACAACCGGATTTACATGTTTTGTGGTGGTTTGGTGATAGAGTTCTTGTTAAGTGTTGAACTAAATGCTACTTAATTTAATGGTGACTTTTATTTTATTCCTTCAAGTTAGAAAAAAATGTGGTTTGTAATTGCTACATCGTGAATTTTATATTTACAGCATAATATACAAGGCACAATATGAAACTCTGCCCATAAGAACCTCTCTAAATGAAGTCTTCCTATACCCTTCTAGTCACTGCACGCACGTACTGTTACTGAATTAATGTATTGCTCAAGATTGAAACTGCTCAGAGCTCTATTAATATCTGACAGCTTGAGGACACAGTGACTGGAACAAAAAAATCATACAGCATACCTGGATCGCTTTCGCAAGTCATTCACAACTCGTGCCATTTCATTCATTTTGTTCTTCATTTCTGTTTCTGTTCATGGATGAATTTACAACAGAAAAGCAATGGCTGTCAGCAAAACACGTCTGGTCACTGTAGCATGCTGTAATTCGTGTTGATCACCTTCAAACAAAACATATGCTGATATGACGCATCAACGACTGTAAATATACCTTGTGATTCTTTGCCCAGGGCTTCCAAAAGCTAAGGAGAGACAACACAAGATTTCGTGTTAATACAGAACCGATGCATTGAATCCACACAAGATATCGTATTTATAGAGCGTCATTCATACACACTGTCTGTACCGTGTTCTCCTCGTGAGCCAGAGTATGGCACCACCTCAACGCCCACGGGAAGGGAGTTTCACTACATTTGTGAGATCCACGAACCCTTGCCTCCACAGTGCTGTATTGCAGGCATGAGCCACCACTGCCCGGTGGAGACAACTTTAAAATATTTAAAAAAATTCGGAATAGGTTGAACATAGCCTATTTTCTAGCTATTTTAAATCTCGAATAAAAAGTTTTACAAAGGTACCCAACTGCCAACACATCATGGTTTACTTTTAGAAAACTCCCTTATCTAGATTGAACAAAGATGTAAAGTCAGCTAAGTTGAACCTCTTGAAATAATGTAAAATTGTAAAGCTTTCTCCCAACTTATGAATTGTGTATTGTAATAAATGATTTACATTGGATATATTTGCTTTCAATATACATTCTGCTATCTGCCAAGAAAACGTAAATGTCCAAATCCTTGTAAAATGCAGGAATATTAACAATCTGTTTCCCTACTGAAGAATATGAGAATATTAAAACTCCACGAATGCCACTGGCAAAGAAAAACAAAAGATGAAAACGCGGTGTCACTGCAGTAGAACCATGTATAATGCTGAACAAGTGATTTGGTGATACCGCATTAGCAGTGGTGTACAAGCACAACTAACAATCACTCAACACATTCGTCAATAACACTGCATTAAAAGGGGAAAAAAAGATATCCAATAGATGACAATTTGGGAAAAATGGCCCTTCATAGTACATATTGCCTGAAGTGTCTTGCTATGAGTGTCACGTCTATAGAACACTAGAATGTCAAATAGAGAGTTGAGCTGTGGTGAAGTAGCACAGACCTCTGAAGGCAGCTCCTCCACCGTCTCCATGAGTGCGGCCGTCTGTGAAAAAACGAAAAAGTAATGTGAGCCTCGATATACCACCACAAAGCATCAATGTTATTCCTCTTGTAATGAAACACAAGCAATAAAATGTATATCATCGCCAGTGCCGCGAATGAGACAACATTTCTCCATCATCTCCATCCAATCGACTTCGCTTCGTAGTTGCTATAAGGTTTGCCCTGACAGTGCCCCATCAACTGGCTTCAAGTCTTCTGTAGTCACCACCTTTAGGTTCCACTGCAATGCTTTTCTTGGTAACCTGCCCTCCTCCATTCTAGACACGAGTCCTATCAATTGTCACATTTTCTTAATTACATCTACTTCACTTTTTCCCATGGTCAATCATGAACTTCCAAGAGGCTTACCCTATCCCATGGGATTCCTAACACTGTCGGCATGCACCCTTCATATTTTAAAGTTGCTTTGATGAAAGATAAGTATCTGACCCACACAGATAACAGAGACATCACTCTCGGCTCAAACACCGTCTCAACTTTTGATGTCTCTATTATTCCAAAGTGGTGTGTGTGGTCCGCACTCTCGCTTCCGACCAACACCTGTGATACAGGGGCATGGGACCCATCGCTAGCCACTGCCATAAGCTCCGTGCTAGAGAAGCTCACGTTAAGAGCCCGATGTCAGACTTGGCGCCCACCACTGCCCAGAGCTGCACTACGCCAGCCAAATTCCCCTTGAGCAAACCTGCACTGACTGCACACTACATGTCTCCCAGGTGCAAATCATCCAATGTGAGCCTTCAATGGTTTTCTCTCTGCTCTTCTTGGGTTTAATAAATTCATGAAGTACTATGATGCTGAATGAAGTTGGAAAAAACTCTCTGCTGAAAACTGGTTCTCACTTTAAACCACACTGATGTTTATCCTAGTAATAGAGATTTCTTACAACCTAGCAGTTCCGATGGTATTCTCTTCACATAGATCAGATGCTTGCTTAAATTCTATAAACAAATCCAAAGCATCTCTGTATATTTCCATCTCAATAAATTATACATAGAGTTCTCATTTTCATTTTCTAATTTAATGGAAGACAATGGCTCTTTCCAATTCTGGGGAAACTGCTCCCTGTTCCCTGCAGGTTTGATTATCTTATCCTGCTCCTCTGGCATCTGTCAGCATCTCGTCAGTACTAACACGCCCTCCTGCTCTTGCCTGGTTTTAGCTGTTTATTTCAATCTCAATCTTTTCTACGATTTCTCTTTCTCTAGCTCTTCAAAATTCTATATCTTTTGAAAGTGACCTCTGCTATTGCCTGATGCTCTCAGTGAATCAGTTAAGTCTCGTAATTCCTCTTTATTCAAGTGACAAAACCAAACTCTCCGTCACCTCCGGCACTTCCTTTGTGAGCACGCTCTGCTATACGTTGCTGATTCTAAATATACATTCTTAGCGCTTCTCTGGGCAAAAAGGTGGACAACCACAGTGTAGAGAACATATTTTTCCAATCTCTCTTCTTGTTACCATTTTGCATTCCCTCTGTCTGCTTTTGCCAATATTCAGTTCCATCCTGAGCCAGTCTCTCACTATTTTTTTTGTTATTCCACCTGTATGCCCTCCCGCTCTTCCTTAGTAGCATCTGAAGTACTGAGACAAAGGTGGTCGGGCGTGGTGCTGGCCACCCACCTCGTGTACTGTGCCGGCCTTCATAGGTGCTGGCTAACACCACTTGCTAGTCTGTTAAGGCTATATGGGTGTTCTTTGTCTTTGTGTACACATGCATAAAATGAAAATGGACATAATATGCATCCTACTATGGTGAGACTGAGTCTCTGACACCAATTTCAACGATCTCCCTTCTGGTAGTCTATTCAGTGTTTTGGGGGGGATTTATAGCTTGTGCCCAAGTTAAATATACAGTAAAACCTTGGATTGCGAGTAACTTGGTCTGCGAGTGTTTTGCAAGACGAGCAAAAATTTTAAATAAATATTAATTTGATAAACGAGCGAGGTCTTGCAATACGAGTCGTACGTATACGCTTTGTCTGCCGAGCGTCACGTGATCACAACTGATATACGAGTGCTCTGATATACGAGTGCTTTGGATTACAAACGTTTCCAGAACTAATTATGCTCGCAATCCAAGGTTTTACTGTAATACATGTTGCCAAACAATAATTCCTGTACGAACGTGTGTTGTGGCATCTGGGTCCAACAAATAGTTCCCATGCTCAATAATGCTGTGGTGCCTCCATTCGTCGTCCTGAGCCACTTGAGGAAATGCCATGTTGCTTTGGTGGAGACCAGTCTATGCAGAGCACACCTGCTGCTGAATTCTCATCCCATGCCACCAAGTGGTGCCCGTGATATTTGCCTCCTAAGCAACCCTGGTGATCTGTATCGCTTCCACTTTCTTACATGGTATATCCCATCAATGTACATTTTGGTTAATACATGTAAGCGACTTTCTGTTGTTTTTAAATATTACACCTACAAATTAAACCGGGATCTGAATCCTTCAGTTATAAAGGCTTGCATAACTGGGATACTGGAACGTTTGGAAGGAATGTCTGTGTCAAATGCTCAGTGCTTTAGTGGACAATACGTGTAGCTGTAGCCATGGAAAAGCACACGTTGCTTTATGATTATCTTGTATTGTACTGTGAGTTCATGCGCCCATTGTTGTACTGTACTCACCTCTCGAACGGCTTTTTCCACATCCTCATCGGATCCATCAGCAGCTGTGGAGGGCTAAGAAAATATCAGTGTATGTAAGTTATAGCTCACTTCTCCATTAGCCATTGTTCATTTCCATTTATCGTTTATGTATGACTCATCTGAACATTCATGCATGCACCCAATTTTACACATGTAATTTAATCATCGGTTAAAATCCCATTCAATAACATGTCCTGTGATCTATCCTCAAATGCTTATCAATAACACACGTTCCAGTCCGGTCTCTGTGAAGGCAGTCGCTTTTTTCTCGCATGATGAGACAATGTTTTCAGCAAAAGCAGGCCAGGGCTTGTTTCAAATGGACCACCATTACATGCAACTCATAGATGCAATGCAGGTTGCAGGAAAATACTGTTATATGGTGTGATCTCATTGGGTCCTTACATTGACTTAAAATAAAACAATACTTTAGCAGCATTGAAGCATAACATAAGATCTCTTTATAAATAGGGAAAAAGCCCATCAGTTGAAAAATGTAAATGCCCTGGTTCTCAAGCAATGTCAACTTGTATCATTGTCACCCTTATTTGAGTTCATCAGTACAATATTATTGTAAGGTGGCATGGTGAATTGAAGCTTTTGACCAAGTGATTAGAGCATCCATCAGACTGACTCTCACAGTGAGCCCACAGAATACAATTCATACCCTGGTTAAGCTCCAACTCATTCTATGTCTCTGGGGTTGATAAAAATAGGTACCACTTTGTTGACAACCGTAGATAGACTAACCCCCACCATGGGAATGTGGCACTTCCACGCCACGAAAGCGCAAAAAACATGGGGAAAATGACTATCTGCTCATGCGCAATTGGCTGTGATTTAGCAGTTGCTTGTGCACAGTGATGGAGTGCGACAGCCTGGAAGGCCGAGGCCTGGGTATTTGCCGCACAGCAGAGGCTCATGGGCCGAACGCCACCCCTATATGCAGCCATGAGCAGCTCACCCCATGGTACTTGCGGTGCACTTTGAGGACATCGAGGGGGCTGAGGAAGCTGCGCTGGCCCACGGGAGTCTTCCCTTCCCTGGCAGGAACGATGGTTGGGCTGACGCCATCCAGCGACGCTGCGTACCTTGAAAACGGAAGATTAAAATCACATTGGTCTATCACCTTATGGCACTTTGCTAATCAAAGAAGCTTTGTTAAATTTATATTCATGCAATTGTCACAAAAAGTCAGTGTGGGTTGGTGAGGTGGAGTTCAGATATCACTCGTCATGGATGTTAACCATGGCCAGGAATCGAACTCTGATTGGAGGATCGTAGTTAAGTGCCGCACCCACTGCACCACCGCTCCAAACTGCAGGGATATAAAGCTACATAATCATTGTTTATACAAGCTTAATACTTGGAGAACAGCTGAAGCAGTGCAGAGTGGAGCTTCACCTCTAATTCCTTAGCCACTGCATCAGCAGCACCTGTTCAACTGGTAACACTTGCGAGCATGAGCAGAGGGTAACTTAGCCAGGTATTAGATATATAGTAATAAGCACAGCTACTATAACAACAAAGGAAGGCATTGGTGCTGTGTAATCTGATTGTGACAGCACTGTCCCGCAGGAGCTGTACATGTACCTGCTGTAGTGGGTGATGGAGATGTAGTCATAGGGCAACCCATAGTCACTGTTGCTGTCTTCCATGCGGCTGAACTGGCACAGATCAACTGAAAGTACAAAGACAGTGCTCACTTTACTGACACCGACATGAAAACAATGTCGCTATAGGGCATACTGACTATTTTTATTTTACCAGGTAAGGCCAACTGAGCTAGATAGCTCTTTTTCAGAAGCAACCTGACCACAAATGATAGTTCAACAAAGTGGAGCATCATGTGGAAATGTACAGCAGCCAAATGCTCTAAACGCATGTTGCTAAATGAGGAGGGAAAAACTCTAGGACCTGGAGAAAAATCTACGTGACCAAGGGGAGAAAATAAAAACTCAAAATATACAGGTGTCTGGGTTGGGCTCGAACCCACGGCCTGTATACCAGGCGAGACAGATAACATCTCACCACCGAGGCACCAATTACTGCAATTGCACTTTATCTCAATTTCCAAATTAGTACGATATTTTATCATCACCTTGCCTTTTATCACCGTAACATAAATAAACGCAACTTGCTTGCCCAGCACACAGCACTTAGAAGGAAATATAAGTCTAATAATAATAGGGGTTTTCCCCTTTTTTCTGGCAACAAAACTGAAACCTTTTTACAAGGAATCATGTGTGCATTAACCACAATACTTGTGGTCAAAATGCAAACAAAAAACACACTGATAATATATGGGCATTGTCCTTGAAACTGAGTGGTCCACACCTGAGACGGCTTTCTTTTGAGCCTCGTCTCAATTGGTGCTAGACCAGAGGACGCCAAAAGGCGTACAGCTCAAAGACAATGCACTTTCAAAGTAATGAGGGCTCGGGGTAAGCATCTACATGCATATATTATCAGCGTTTTTTGTCTGCATTTTGACCACAAGTATTGTGGTTAATGCACACATGATTCCTTGTAAAAAGGTTTAAGTTTTGTTGCAAGAAAAAAGGGGAAAACCCCTATTATATTTTGGTACTGGCAAAGGAGGGCTAATGATGAAATGCAAGTCTGTTTATATGTTCATTATTGGTGTTCCAAATCAAAGTCAAAATGTCTCCATACTCATACAAGCGATAGGACGGATCACTGTTGACTGCCCTGTGGAAATTCCATGTTCTCATGGCATGATCAGACTTCAAATGGATAAACACTGTTGACTACCCTGTAGGTGGTACATATATATTATCAACCCCTGAGAGGGTTGATGAGCTGAGTTGACCCCTAACCAGAATTGAACTATTTACCTTACGATTGTCTGTGTGAACCATTACTCATACACATTTCCCAACCTGAAGTGATTTTTTTCCCACCTAAATAACTTTACACGCCTCTCCTGAGAGATATCAGGAGAGATATTAGCAATATCCACAAGCACAACAGTCAGTGGGCTGTACAGGCAGTTTAAAATCTTTAACATGCCTAAATTAAGAATTAAGCCACTTCCATCTTCTTTGGTTCTTTCGGTAAAGTCACGTAGAATGAGAATAAAATACCGAAAGAACCAAGGAAGATGAATCCTTGCAGTCACGAAAGCTTTAAATCGAAAGCCACTTCCAGTTTCCCCATCTCTCGGCATGCATCTCACTGCCGCTGGCAAAAGCCACAAATGCATCGTGTCAATGAACGTACCCTCCTTGATGTTGTCCTCTTTGATGTGGACGTGCTGGTCACGGTCGTGCCGGCAGTGCTCGTGGTGGAAGCCGAGCGCGTGCATGAGCTCGTGCAGAACCGTGCCCTTCTCCACCTTCCCAGGCTCCAGGGACACGGACTGGGCCCCTCCCTTCTTGCCCAGGAACGACCAGCTCCTGCTCACACAGCACCCGGCATTTCAGCACAAAACCACAAACATTAAACACGGATACTACAGAGACAGGGCATGCAGCAATGGAGGAGATACATCTCGCTTGACCTAACCCAAACCCGAACCAGGATGAAGAGGAGTCTCGGTGATGCTTCTCACTGGAGCTGCTCACCCGCCCAATGCCTGGAAGTTGATGTAGTCGTCGGCGCGCTTCCTTGGAATGAAGCGCACGCAGGTCTTCTCGTTAAACTCCAGGATGGCTTGCTCGATCACATCCCGGTCCTTGGCAGCTGCCATTCAAAACATGCACCGCAAATATTTACAATGTAACAAGTAATATTGGCAATTAATTCTGTGTACTGCCGGATAATCGTGGTTGCATTTTAGAATATGAGGTAAAGACGATGACACACTTCTTGATAACATTTTAGGAAAGTAATTTTAGCAATATGAACCATGGTGAATTTAACCCCACTGCTAGTGCCACGGTGGCAAGATGTTAACTACCTCGCCTGGTATACAGGAGGTTGTGGGTTCGATCCCGACCCTGACACCTGTATATTTGGAAATTGCATGTCTCTCTCCCTGTGGTCGTGTGGATTTTTCTCTGGGTCCTCCGGTTTTTCCTTCGACATATCAGAAACGTGTTTTGAAGTATTTGTCTGCTATAAAAAATGTCGACAAAGCCACTTCGTTGATCTATCATTTGTGGCCAGGGCACTTCTGAAAAATAACTATATATTCTCTGCTGCCTCCGCGCCCCCCCTTGCTGCATGCCTCATGCTAATTTGTGTCCCATTGTCTCGCCGAGCATGTGTAGTTTCTTTCTTGGCCCGCGTGCAGCACTCGAATTTGTTGCCCCATTACATCTCAGCCCCGCCCTCTCTGTCTATTTTACACCTTGACAGAGAGATGATGCTTCACTGTGTGCCTGTCTCTCTCCATGTGTCTCTGTGCTAACTCGTTCTGCTTGGATGTCTATATATGTGTATGCGGTCTGTATATTTTTTTAGATTTTAAATTTCACACTTAACTTACAATTTAGCAATCTTTGAAATAACGTAATCAACCTGACCTTGCGTTAATTGTGTTTTGACCGACCGTCTGTGTTGCGCTATATAGTTTCCAAATCTTGCTAAAACCTGTTTTATTTAGTGTGCTCCCACGTTTCTCTCTCTCTGTATCCCCTGTTGTATCTGTGTCTGTACATATATCTTCTGTACCTGATGATGATTGCTTGTGTTGCAATCGAAACGTCGTACACTATTATGTTATTTTATTTTTTCTACGTGACTTTACCGAAAAAAAACAAATAATAATTCCTGCAGTCACGAAAGCTCCAAATTCAAGTTTCAATAACTATATAGCTTAGTGGGCCTTACGTGTTAAAATAAAAAAAAAATAGTAAATAGATTTTGATATCCGAGCTAACATTATGCATGCTTGTTCACGGGGTTGATTGATGCCACTTCTGCCATGTGCAGACAACATCCTATAGATGGAGCCAGGAGGTGCAAGCCAGCTGCGTGAGCAGCACACGCAACTGCAGGTCAAATCTCAAGTCCCTTCTCGAGGAAAAGCAATGTTTATAGGCGTAGTAAGTTTGATATTTTCTGCTTCGTTAGCAATGCCTACAAATGTTGTATTTTACTTATTGTGGTGAAGTCAAGTTCAGACTATGGCAGATGTCTAATTAAACCACTCTCAACTGCACAGCGCACCGTGCAACACTGGGGTTGCATGATTGCTGAACATGGCAATACAGGGGTTGTATGATTGCAGGTTAATTCGTGACCCAGGTTAATATTACAGTCCTATGTCTCTACTGTCATGGGAAAAGGGAGCCCAAATGTCAATGTGTAAGTGATGGGTGAATAATGCACAGAAACTACATTTGGCGGCAGACAGAGCAGTTCTTACGGAAAGCGATGGAGATGTTGTAGGGGATGCGAACTTTGCCGTCCGGTTGTTTGGGCCAATCCACGACTTTCTGTGAGAGATCTCCAGCAATGTCGCCTGTTCTCATGCCATCTTCTCCTAAATCTGAAATAGGGGAGAGAAAATAGATAGTGCAGGCATCAGCAGACCTTCCAACAGAGCATTTGTCTGTGTGTTGGTCCATTTAATTTCCTCTACAGAATGCAAAGTCAACATGAATTAATCTGAGCAAGACTTAGCCAATATCCAGATAAACTAGGACATATTATCAAGTAAAAGTAGCAGACATTTCATTGAATCTAAACATAGTGTAAATGAAATTATGCCAGTTGCGTAGTTTAAATTAATTTGGCATTTCATGTTCAAAATAGCAAAGCATATCATACATTTCAGAAAATTGTAGAAAGGAATGCTTATAAAAATAATTAGAAGAGTTTATGATTATGAATCTGAGTAAAACATTTAACTTTAAAATCAGTATAAGAACATTAGTTTTTTAGTGTAGTGTATACTATTAAATGCATTCTCTTTAAATCATGCAAAGCCCTATGAACCACAGGGCCACTGTTTAGAGCAAGAAGACGAGGATAGAGGCCACCTTCAGTGACCAAATGAGTTTGATATTTAGCGATGTCATCCCTGGTGACTTGTACAACCTTCAGACGGCAATCACATACTCTTTCTGTTTCGACTGGTCTGTAACTGTGCCTTAGGATGATTTGTGAAATAACACACTAACCTGAGGTAGCTGAGAGGAAATGTATATCATGTTTTTTTTATTTGCTGTTTTGCATAAATGCAGGGATCATATGCAAATCATTCATGTTAACTTCAATTATAAAAAAAAAATATGGGCCTGGGCAGGATACATCACTGGAATAGACAACAGTGGGTGTACAAGGTTGGTGAGGAAACGACAACTAAAGAAGAGAATAGGCCCAAGAGAATGCCCACCATGGAGATGGAGCAATGAGATGAGTTCACGTCTACGAGATGGAAAGTAGCATCGCAGGACCAAGAGGGATGGCTTTGACGTGGAGAGGTCTTCATCCAACAGTGGATAGGCTGATGATGCTAAAGCAAATCACTTGTATGATGTACTCATGAGTGCCTGTAAACTGCTAATAGACTTCATGTCCTCTGATCCATAAGAACTTTCTCGTGAAGTGCCTCAAATCTATTAAACTGGCATAGTGTCACAGGTTTCCCCGTGTGTCTGCGGAGACTGACTGAAGCCACCAAGACCTCCTGCTTCTCGATCCTTGTAAAAACTGTGAAACTTTACACATGAAACACTTATGCTCACATCGACAACCCCATACATGCTTATAATATGGTGTGCTAGACCATAGCGAAAGTGAAGTCCCTGTACTGCTAGCGAGCAAAGCGTGAGAGTGAGCTGATGAGGGCGTGCAGCAGTCCTTACTTTTTCCTCCAGTGTGCATTGACATGGCGTTGGAGACCTTTGACAGCATGTCCAGCAGTGCGGTGCGCACCTCTTTTTGCTTGGGCGCATCCATGATGCGGACGAGCAGATCTAAGAGAACACACGTCAAACACGATCCTTTATGTGCGCAACTCTCATATTTTTTTCACAACTTCTATTTCTGCTTTCTACTGCGGAATTAAGAGATACATTTGCACGAAGGAACTTCATGAAGCCATTTACCACCATTGCTATGTGCTGCCAACAAGCTTGATGTGCTGATGTTGTATGTGTGCTGCGTGAAGTGAGCCGATGTCTATGAAACTGCAATATTGGTATTTGTATCAGTTTTCTCTCTGTTATACATCAGTATCTAACCTCACCAAGTGTTTAAATGGAGCACTCTGGGGGAAAATTAGAATTGTATTGTTTATTGCACTGATGAGCCATTATGTAGACAGATGGCACTTACCAATAACATCAATAATAATAACATCTATAAAACCGCCAGTGTTTGTTTATAAAACCTGGCTCTGCTGATGAGCCGCATAAAATTTAAACTAGTCGAGAACTTGCATGTTTAAACATACAAATTGCTGCTGCTTGGCATCAGTCCTAGAAAAAACAATTGTTGATGGACTAATAGATATTTAATGTTGATGTGGAGATACTGAATGGAAGGCGAGTGAATGCGTTAGCAACTCTGTGCTGTCTGTACCATCACTGTGTCCTTCAAAAGGCCTGTGCACTGCTGCTCTGTGGCCATAGCTCAGTCGCTGCCCGAGGTACTATTATTCTGTGGTTATAGCACTTCTGCTCTTCTACAGGAATGATTTGTCAGTCATGTCATCTCCATCACAAGTGTACACATAAGTGTACACACGACAAGTACACGCATGACAAGTGTACACATGACAGTACACATGATGACAGTACGCATTACAAGTGTACACATACGTGTGTGCATTAGTGTACACATCACAAGTCTGCACGTGGCAAGTGTACGCATGCTAAGTGTACACATACGTCCGCCTCCATGCTCCTTGAAAGCCAGGTGCAGGGCAGCCTCCTCCTCCTCGGAGCACTTGGCTGTCAGGATGTCAAGCAGGCACTGCAGGGCTGTGATTGTAGACTCGTCGAAGCTGTGAATGAACAGGAAAAGTAAACAACAATGTTGCCAATACTTGCAAACAGCAGCACACAGCAGTGATAGTTGCAAAAATCTAGCGTTACCTTAAAAGGAGACAAGGTGGATTAGTGCAAATTCAATGGTGACAAGAAATCCTTATTAAAAGGATAGAGTGCTTCTGCAGTTCACTTATATAGATGGTTCCAGAAAATAAGGTGGCAAGCCAATCCATTAAGAGAGGTTATAGGCTATCATCTGAACATTTTCAGAAAATAACATATGGATAAAATGACAATAATCAAGTTATCAACAAGTGCACTTCATCAAATCCCAGTGTGGGAATCCCAGCTTAGAGGAGTTGGAGTCATCAGATGTTTACCAACAATCAATAGAGAAGAGAGGGAAATATGGGGAGAAGATCTAGATTTTTTTTGTAAACCTGAAGCAACCAAAACATTCTATTTAGAAGAGAACTTTGGGAGCTTCTAGGTTTGTTTTTAGCAATCTAGGTACCCGATTGCTTAAGGATGTATATGATGGGACTTAAGCCTGTGTCATCCTTTGGTGCGATATGGTGCGAGATGCACCTCCAATTAGCGCGGTTGGCTATGTATGGTGCGAAAGAAGTTCAACATACATACATAATATAAGGAAAAACAACAAGGAGGTGATTGGCAAGACCATTTGTTATCCACTGAGTTCAACATAGTGATTGACTTCGTGCATAATAAAAAAATATTGATGGGGTAGAGAGAAAAGCAAACCCAGGAATGGAAATGGGTCATTTACACCTAGCGAGGACCTCAAATGGGGAATTTCAGATTTTGGCAAATTTAAGTTTTCATTCTGGAGAACTGGGGCCTTAAGTGAGCTTTCCAAACACAAAAGTAGTGAAAGGGTTTAGGATAGGAGCTCCTGCATCTCTTATCGAATGCATGAGTAGGAAGTGGGGATTTTGGGGTAATTGTGTATCTTGGAAATACTGTAATACGCAAAAGAAAGGTGGCTGTGAGAACAAAGCCGAAAGACACCTTGCAAGGCAATGTTTAATGGATTGTATACACCATGAAAGAGCAGAGGCCCAAGCAATGTTAATGGGTCGAAGTAATTTATGTTAATGTACGAGTCAGAGCTGGTCTCTGATAAAGCATTTATAAATTCACGGAATTGTATCAGAGGACAAGGTAAGCAACCTGTTGGAGTAGGGAAGCAATTGAGGATCAATCAGGAGGAGGCAGTTGCCATGGGTGGGACACACGCTGTTGCTGGACGCTTGGCGTTTGTGTAACCTTTGGTTTGTGCATGCAACTGCGATATAAAATAATTACTCCATTGAAATACAGATGTAATGCATTACAATGTATTTACATCAAGCTATAAAAATGATGATCCTGGAAAGATGCTGGGGATTTTCTTCCGTCTCTATCACTGAGGCTCTGATTTTAAGTGCCACCATTCCATTACAATTACAGTATTCACTTTAACCATCTGCATGTGTTACCTAAAAATGTAAAAAGAGCCACAATGCAGGATGAGTGTACATGTTATTCACTTGTATCCATGTTTCTATCATCACATCACACACTTCTCACCTGGACTGGCGTTTCACCTCTTCAATTATGTTTTTAATCATATCTGCTTTTGACTTTAGGTCCATCTCTACACAGAGTTCATAAACATATGTGTTAGTGGAACATAACACGTTAAATACACAGTAACTATTGCAAGAGTCCTTGTACAGAACACTGCATCTGCCTCGCATATAAAGGTAATGAACAACAATGCAGCTTTGGTTATTTGACAAACTCATTAGAGTACTGTCCTGTGCATTTCTGTTAAAATCTTGCCATTATTTACAAGATACATTGTAATTAGTTTTCGTAATCAATTGACTGAGTAAAATGACATATAGAAACACTGCTTATTTTCACATTTTATAAATATTGAGTCTGGTTAAATAAATCTGATGTAAATGTTCATTTGCCATCCCACCTTTCTTTTCCTTTTCCTCCTTGAATTCTTGCTCCGTCTACAGCACAATTAGCGATGTAAGAAACAAGAGTCAGTGGGGAATACAGTCCCTGAAGGCAGAGCCACAACTCGGTGGTTTCACTGTGGCACACGCAGGGCAATCAACCACAGTTAGTGGGCGTCCCTCAGGACACCAGTAGTACACTTCTACTTTTCAGGCCATGCAAGCAACATTCGTTTTTAGTAAACAACTATTAGAGCTGCTGAGCACCGGGCCTGCAAACCTATTAGGCCAATCGAGCGGATGCACAGGGCACGAATGATAGGACTGCAGGGAAGAACCAAGACAACAAAAAACGATTGTAATTTTACCAGGTAAGGCCCACTGAGCTATATATATATATATCTTTTTCAGAAGTGAGGTGGTCACAAATGATCGTTCAACTAAGTGGCTTATTATGTGGAAATTTATAGCAGCCAAATACTCTAAACGCATGTTTCTAAACAGTCAAACTGTTAGAACGAACCTTTTCCGTGGCTGGAGGCATTAAGGCATGAAGTTCATGAGAACAGTGACCATTGTGGTGGTAAATGAGTGACACGAAACTGAACGATTGTGAGAGAGTATTTTAGTAATTCAGCAGGGATTCAATCCGGCAAAGTTGGGTAGGAACTAGGAGCTCCACTGCAGAAGTGGCAAGAACACAACAGCCTAAGACATGTGCATTGCAAAGCAGGAACATGTAGTGAGAGGTGAAGGGTTTGGCACAGAAAATAATTCGGAATTTATTAAAAGGCTCCTCACCCAGATTAGCAATGAAAATAACACAAGGCTCATCAGTTAAAATGTTCATGGCCAGCAGAATAACGTATTCATTATTGGTGCAATCAACTGTGTTACATTACAGAGGAAACAGTATTGAAAACCTTCAGTGACATAAGCACTGATGGAGTTCTAGATTTAAAGCTTTCGTGACTGCAAGGATCCATACTCTTTGGTTCTATTCGGTAAAGTCACGTAGGTAAAAAATAAAACAACAAATCACGACGTTTCAGCCACAACACAAGCGGCCTTCATCAGGTAAAGGGATCAGGCTGTCTCGAGGACAGTGCTGGAGTGGAACACAGCCACGCTCAGACCGCAACCTTTAAGCTGTGTGCAAGGAAACAAGGTGCCTTGACAAAGGAATTAGCATAAAAATTTGCATTTGATTGGCCGACTTAGCATAGAGGTGGTGTACATGCGGGTGCACATGCCGGTTGGCGCGGGGGGGGGAGTTTCCCTATTGATGGTGTGAAAAGGGAATTTAAGAGCTGCGAAAGTTTGGGGTACCACTACTTGAAAAATATACTGTACCATTGAAAATTAGTTTAATGTTTGGTTCGATTTAGAACATCTTTCCAATGGTTGCTTAATTTGAAACCATCTTCTCGGTTGAAATTGCGTCTGTGTTGTAGATCTGAATTGCCTCGTGAACAAATCTCTGATAAAAACCCGTGGGTTTGCAAAGAACCTTGGTATCGGAGAAAATTATATCGTGATCACCCACAGCGTTGTAACAATGATCAGCTACGGCAGAAGAATTTGTTTTGCCGTGTTTCAAATCTGATTTGTGCTCGCGAATTCGGTCAGAGACATGTCGCTTTGTCTCCCCGATATAGCAATCACCGCAGGTACAACTCAATTTGTTAACCCCGGAGTACTGTAAGTCAGGAATGACATCCTTCACGGATGGGATCAGATCACGAATGTTGTGTACTGTGTTGAACCGGACCTGGATCTTGTGTTTGTTTAGAATTTTGGAAATCCTTTTAGTAACGCCTGCTATATATGGTAGTGTGATGGTTTTGACCGGAGTATCAAGTGGTTGTTTTTGTATGGAGGGAGAAACAGCTTGGCAGATGGTACGGTCAGAGTATCCATTCCTTTTGAGGGCCAGGTGTACATGTTTTAATTCACTGGTCAGGTGGTGTTGGTCTGAAATACAATGAGCCCTATGGTATAAAGTTTTGATGAGAGAATTCTTCTGGGCTGGGTGGTGGTGGGAATCAGGCTTCAAGTAGGAATCCGTGTGGGTGGGTTTCCTGTAGACAGAATGCCCCAATGAGCCATCAGGTCTCCTCTCAAACAGAACATCCAAGAATGGTAGCTTACCATCTTTCTCCACCTCCATGGTGAATTTGATGGCGGGATGTCTGGAATTGATGTGGTGTAGGAAAAGGTTCAGAGCTGGGAGGCCATGTGGCCAAATAACGAAAGTGTCATCCACATATCTCTTCCACAGGGAAGGTCTGAGGGTGGAAGTCTGGATGGCGTCTGATTCAAATTTCTCCATGAAAATATTGGCTATCACTGGTGACAAGGGGGATCCCAAGGGGGTACCTTCATTTTGTTTGTAGAAGGAGCCATTCCAAGTAAAGTAGGTATTGTTGAGGCAGTGCCTAACCAGTGCAGGTGTATCGGGGTCTAGTCCATGTTGGACCAAATATTCAATTATTTCAATGATATCAGGCACTGGGACCTTGGTGAACAAAGAGACCACATCGAAGCTGACAAGGATATCGTCAGGGGACAGTACAACGTCTTTGACCATAGAGACCAATTTGGCTGAGTTAAGTACTGCTGAGGCGGTCTTACCAGTGAAAGGCAGCAAGGTATCTGACAGAAAACGGGCCAGTCTATAGGTAGGGGAGTTGATCGTGGATACGATGGGTCGTAGTGGGGTGCCTTCTTTATGAATCTTGGGAAGACCATAGAATCTAGGGGGTTTTGCAGCAGGTTTTAGGGAGGGATTGCTATATCGGGGAGACAAAGCGACATGTCTTTGACCGAATTCGCGAGCACAAATCAGATTTGAAACACGGCAAAACGAATTCTTCTGCCGTAGCTGATCATTGTTACAACGCTGTGGGTGATCACGATATAATTTTCTCCGATACCAAGGTTCTTTGTAAACCCACGGGTTTTTATCAGAGATTTGTTCACGAGGCAATTCAGATCTACAAGCACAGACACAATTTCAACCGTGAAGATGGTTTCAAATTAAGCAACCATTGGAAAGATGTTCTAAATTGAACCAAACATTAAACTAATTTTCAATGGTACAGTATATTTTTCAAGTAGTGGTACCCCAAACTTTTGCAGCTCTAAAATTCCCTTTTCACACCATCAATAGGGAAACTCCCCCCTCCCCCGCCCCCCCGCGCCAACCGGCATGTGCACCCGCATGTACACCACCTCTATGCTAAGTCGGCCAATCAAATGCAAATTTTTATGCTAATTCCTTTGTCAAGGCACCTTGTTTCCTTGCAAACAGCTTAAAGGTCGCGGTCTGAGCGTGGCTGTGTTCCACTCCAGCGCTGTCCTCGAGACAGCCTGATTCCTTTACCTGATGAAGGCCACTTGTGTTGTGGCCGAAACGTCGTGATTTTTGTTGTTTTATTTTTTACCTACGTGACTTTACTGAATAGAACCAAAGAGTACTGATGGAGTTATTTTATGGTTGAAAATGACCAGGTTTCTGTTAGCCCACTCAAAGACTGTTTCAAGCCAGTCATAATTGATCAAGCCAGTGCACTGGCCAGCTAACGAAGTTCTACTTTATGCTTGTTATTGAAATGAGTGTGATGAATGAAGTGTACAATTATCAGCCCATGAGTAGATTATATTGCGAGTGAAATATAAAAAGTAATTTATGAAAATAAGACTGTCAGTGAAAGAATGGAGCCTTACGGAATGTCAGAGCTGGTGCTAAAAGTGTCGGTCGGACTGGTTACCTTGAGCGTGTGTCATGATTGGTCAGTAAGAAATGCAGAGGCCCATGCTCGCAGGTGAGGGTGAACGCTACATGATGGCAGCATGGCAAGTGGTGCTCAGTACCCCACACAATCAAAATCATGAGCAGTTTCAAGAGGCATAGTCATGATTGACCTCCAGACATGAGTCACGTAAGCTGACAAGTCACCTATAGAATGTGCTTTCAACGAGCAATGTTGATGATCACGAAGAAGCGAAAATGTCTCTAGGTGATGGAGAATCTCTTTGTTGAATACAGACTATCACTTTGCAGAGTAATTAAGTCAGGGCAATATGACGGTAGATTCTTATACACGATGGACTTTCTTATTTTGGAATTGACAAGACCTGAGCTACCTTCCAAGTTGATGATGCAGTGTGTGGGTGCTATATTAGAGGTTGTAGAGCAAAGAACTGCTGCAAGTTCTGGTGCACATCAGACTTGTCTTGATGTCATTACTACTATAATAGCCCAGAAATGTGTGTAACGTGCATGACGTCACATGCCGCACCCCCCGCCCCCTCCCCCCGTCATTAATATTAAAATAATCATGCATGACGTCACATGCCGCACCCCCCGCCCCCTCCCCCCGTCATTAATATTAAAATAATCATGAGCGGGTGGATTTTTACACTCATGCGGAAGGTCGAGTGAAAAGATATTTTTTTTCACAAAGTCGCTTCAAATATGACGTTTCTTTACAGAAGGTGACGGTCAAAAATAAATCTACGTAGCACAGTGCTACATCCGTACGTGACGTCACTGCAAAAGAGCCCCCCCCCCCCCCCCCCCCCCCCCCGTCATTACTATCATAAGACATTTTTTTACGCAAATTCGCTTTAAATTTGACGTTTCTTTATTGAAAGTTACTAAAATAAATAACTCTACGCAGACGTTTCTTTACGTAAATATTACAGCTTCTGTCCTAAGACGGGCAAAAGGCTAGTGCCACAATATTCAAACTCTAAATTTGTATTGCAGAATATAATAAAACGTGTTATATTTCTATGATCTGTTGTATTTATCTTAATATTTGATTCAAAATTGTATATATATTAGTCAAAGTGCTACATAGTGGTACCTATTTAATGACCCTGCAATATGTATGAGCTGAATCAACATTGTACCAAGATTTGAAATTGTGAGCTCCTACTGATTTTGTGTTGATTCATGATACAAATGTTTTATTGACAAGAACATAAATGTTTACACAGGTGTAGTGGTGATTGTAGCATCACCACTGTGTACACACGCACAAGTGTGACGTCACTATGCGGGGGAGCGTCACTACCACGCGGGTCTATACACACACATGACGTCATCCCGGCTGGAGGCGGGAATGACGCCGGGGCCGGTTCTGGACTCGGGAGGCCACGAGGGTGGTGTGAGGTCGTGGCACTCTCTGTGACCCCGACTGGACACGTGACTGGATCCCAGTGGGGGCCGGGGGCCTAGGGGGCATCTTGGGGGGCACATGGACAACAGGGGGGGCTTCAAGAGGGTTCTCAAAGGGAGGCGTGGCCGGGGCGGGGCCCGGGCACGCCGAGGCCCATATAAGCAGCCTCCTCACGAGGTTCGAGGCTGCCCGTATCAAGAATGAAGACGCATCGTGAAGACGCCAAGAAGAGTCAAGCCTCCAGTCAGCGGACCTGCCAGTAGCCCACCTGGCTGGGTCACGCTAGAGTATCTGGGAGTTAGAGAAGTGTGTTAGCTAGAGTAGGTCGGTGGTCACCACCCTATGCGTAATGTAAGAGTTAACTGTTGTGTTCATTAATACATAAGTGTTGCCTCCCAAGAAGTTGTGTGTGCACCTAATTCGAATCCACTACACAAGCAAACAAAGAGCTGCGCTCAAGGGGAATACAAAGTTCATGGCACCATTGCTCACCTTCTTTCTCCAGGCACCAATCAGGTTGTCCAAGGGCTCGGTTCTGCCTCCAGCGCCCTCCTGCCCAGTGCCAGCTGCACCACCCAGCACACAGCAGTGAGCAGGCACGCAATGGTGCATAGATCCACCCAGTGGGATCGATTCTTATGCTCACGATACACGCACACACATGTGTTGAACAGCTGATTATTTACAAATGATGCAGATTATATAGCAATGTACTTTTAGGATCGTGGAACAAATGAGACAGATGGTTTGAAAGAGGCAGAACAAACAAGGAAGTGTAAAATAAGACAATATAGAAACAAATAAATATGAATTATTAAATGGATTCATGAGCATAATTTTAATGCCTTAATACTTTAAAAATATTTACAACTATGCCTATTAGGTTAAATCAAATAATTGCATAATATAGAATAGTTTCAAATGATATAGTGGTTCATAAGAGATTTTTTTTGTAAATGTTGTGGCTTGGCTCTCCAACACACTGGTATGCTGTACTAGTGACGAATTGGCATGTTCTGTTTACGTGACAACCCTTACTAATTGTCGGGTGGTGGTGGGTTTTAACGATACATTTATATATTTACACGATCTAAACAAAAAAAACCCCTCTATTATGGATATTGGTCGCGAAAGCCTACGTGTTAAACTATATAGTGGATGATTCATAATAATTTAAACTAGTAACGTGAATATTATTCGCTCATTCTCGAAGAAGGAATGACTCGTAGGCGCAAGGAAGCACAGATAGGTGGGAAGGCGGACAGGTAGTGAGCGGGCGCCAACAATTGCCCACGCTCTTCGGTCCCCTACATATTAATATGGTTTCGACTATTAATGAGTGCTTAGATATGGGAGGAAACCAAGTATCCAGAGAAACGTTTACTCCCTCGCCTGGTATGTAGGGAATCGTGTGTTCAATCCCGACCCTGACGCCTGTATATTTGGAGTTTGCATGTCTCCCCCATGGTGGCATGGATTTGTCCCCGGGTCCTCTGGTTTTTATCTCCACATTTAGAAACATGCGTTGTTGCTAGAAATTTACACATAAGCCACATCATTGAGCTATGATTTGTGGCCAGGTTGCTTTTGAAAAAGAGCTGTATAGCTCAGTGGGCCGTATCTGGTAAAATAAAAATAGTTTATCAGTTAGTTTTAATATCCCATACAGATGGAAAAGGTGGAGTCCACATTTTTGCTATGATTTTTCCTAGCAAACGAGGATATAGCACATTGATGCCCATGGGAAGAGAGTTTCACAACATTTATGTGATCTACCAACCCTCGCCTCCAGTACTGGATTACCGGGTGTGCACCAACACCGCCTCCCGGCTAAGCGTTATGTAAGGACTATGCGTGCATTCGACTCTTGGCAGGGTGTGATGAAGTCCATTTGAGTACGATGTATTGGTATGGGTGTGAACCTCGTCAATATACGTGTCATTGAACATAATTATAAAATAATCATGGTCATTTTCAAAATGAGATGTGTTTTATGTCACAAAAGAACATGTGAGGGTTTTACAAAGGACTTCAAACCCATATTACGATAGAAACACTGCTGAAACTGCATTTACCATTGTATTATTGCCAGTTCCCCAGTGTGCTTAGAAAAAAATATCTATGATTTACATTTCTGTACATTATCCAATAACTCCGCATTGCCCTTTCTTTGAAGAACAGAGATACATGAGGCAGTGTTACTAAGATGCTAAGATCAAATCAACGACTTGTGTTATACAATAATGTATTGTGACACAAGTGTTGATGCAAACAGCACAAAGCGAGTGTGCACGGGTAGGCACACTGTATCCGGCGCAGTCACTTAGCAAACGCACCCAGGGAAGCTTTTGTCTCTGGGGCCGGGAGCTCAGCGTCATGGCCATACAACTTCTGCACCTTAACCACGTCACAGGGGCTCAGGGCGTTGCCGTGCCCCATGTGCAGCATGAGGAGCGGGTTCTTGGGGATGATGGTCGGGTTGCGCTCGTCCACCGAGCCCGCCGTCCTGGACACGAACAAACACAGGCACTCATGTATGGAGCCTGCAGTCCTGGGCAAACACAGACTCGCAGTATTCCATCGAAGCTAAACGCTGGAACAAACTCATCTGTGTAGTCATCATCGTATGCATCTGTATTTATAAAGAGTGGTCTCTGATACACACAGATTCATAAGATGATGGCATAATACACAAGGGCCACAATTTACATGTGGGTAAATGTTCCATTTTGTGGAAATTTTGGCAACTTGCCGAGACTATATCTTCATTACCAACGAGGCAAATAGTCGGTTCAAGATTTTTTCAAGTTAGTAATTTGCCCCTTGAACGCTGAATTCCACTTTACTCAGCAAGTGTGGATGGCAAGACACTGCAGAAATAAATAAATTTGGGGGGAGCAGATCAAGCCCAAGTTGTTTGTTTACACCCTGAAGTTTAACCAGGAGATGAAACAGATCCATTGAGACACGTGAAACATTCTCTTTTGCAAGCGCAACCTGGATTACTTTAAGAACAATTTAAACATTTTCTTTTTACAAATTCAGACTAAATTTTAAAGTTAAAAGTTAGTTTGCTTGTCATAAAATAAAAGTATGAAATATAACTTTTGGAAAAGAAAGTGACAAGATGAGGCACATACATGTAGTGCAGAAAAATGCATAAAATGTGATGTGCTTGGGTAGTCAGGAAATATTACAACAGCTAATCAAATATATTCTTGGTTCTTTCGGTAAAGTCACGTTGAAGGGAAACAATAAAATAATAATATATATAAAACAATAAAATTATCACGACGTTTCGACTTGCCGTTGGTTTTCACACCTGATAATGACTGCTTGTGTTGCAGTCGAAACGTTGTGAGAATTTTATTGTTTTATATATATATTATTATTGTATTGTTTCCCTTCAACGTGACTTTACCGAAAGAACCAAGAATATGAATCACTGCAGTCACGAAAGCTTTAAATCAAAGCTAATCAAATATTTTCAAAATATTGTATCCAGCCTATTAATCAATTCTACTTTAAACTCAGTTTTGGTTATGATTGAATTTAGTTGTAATTGGGATGCCAAGGTGATTCCATAACTGAGCGTCAAGTGAAACTTGATACCAGCCCAAACTAATTATTCACAGAGTATGGGGTGGCAGTGGCACGGCTAAGGTTGTGATGATTTAGAGCAGGATATAAGCAACACAGTTGTGGCATTTACTTATTTGTAAATGCATTGAAGACATGTTTTTCCCAATATATTTACTTCCTGCCATACACAACACACAATGTGATTCTCATACAGCTGCCATAAACAGCAGCAGCAGGCAAGCCGTCGTTCAGCGGGAATGTCTGTGTCATCCACAACGCGCTTTTGGCTACACGTTAAACAAAAAAATACGTAACTATGCTGATCAAATGCAAGTTGTATATGAACACTGTGGATACTTAAAATTTTATTTGCCCATCATGAGCTTTCTTATTGTGGATTTGACCATTCACGCTGAATGTATTGAGGTATAGTTTGCCAATCGCGCCCCTGTGGCTCAACCATTCGCAGTTGACAGTAGAATCCTGTCCAGTCTGTATCGTAAAAAGACTGTACTCTTCAACTGCTCTCTGCTCGAGGTGATGATGTCACGGAATAATACACATGCCATCATCATCATTCATAGTAACTAAGAGAGTTTAGTTTATCCTTTTTTAACTACATATTTACTGCACATTGCATTAACCTTATCTTTATTTTCAGGTTTACTTTTATGTGTACAGTACAGTACTGTACACTCCATTATTTTTTCCCTTGTATACATTTACTGTACAAGTTATATTGAACTATATAGAAAATATCAATGTTACTTAAAACATACTTCCTGTCTCATGTTTGGGTTAATGTAGGGTAGGATAAAAGGAGGGGGGTGTGGTATTACGAAGAGAGAACCAAACCAAACCATATTTTTGCCAAACGCTTTTGAGTTTCGGATCGCGGATTTGCGATTGCAACTATTATCAAGAACGTAGCCCCGAGCGATGGGCAATGTTTCGGTATATTGCAAGATGATTTGCTGTGATACACAGGATTTCCCACCACTTAATCGAATTCAGAAATACACTTATCGCATGTGGGCACACAGACAGCTTCCCGGTTTATGGCTGGATATTGCTTATGACCAACAATTGTAGATGGTGCAGTGTGAAGTGTGGTTACACAGCACATGCCACACACATACATGCTGTAGTGCATGATGGAGTTGCAGTCGTAAGGCGCTGCCAGGTCCTGGGCAGTGGATTTCATGTGCACGATGTCTCGCTTCCATTCTGTAAAATAGAAACATAAAAAGTTTGTTTTTAATCAAATTAATTTACATTGCGCCCACATACAGCATCACTTAATTACGCTGGTTTGAAAGCTCTTTGATGATGATGTCAATCAAGGAGAAAACTACAACTGTGAAAATATGTACCTGGAAAGCTTCCCTCAATGTCAACGTTTTGTGATGAATGTGTATCACCGTATCACACCATTCAATCCATGCATTCAACAGTAAAATGACAGCCTTTACAAGTTATCAGCATTACCCACTCTTCGCATAATGTGTTGCAGTATATCGGCGGAAGGTAACAGGCCCTGAGCTACCAACTGTGAAGCATGTGGGGCCCCCCTAAGAGGCAGTACAGAGGGGAGTAGGGGGTGGGGCGTGGATGGCAGCACAGAAGGGGCATGTATTGATGTGCGACTCCAGAACTGCCTCTCCTATTGTGCAAGCCAACAGAGCACAGCATTTGCAGGGACAATATTTGGCACTGCCAGGACTACAAGAGGATGGTGATGGTCCACTCAGGATGTTGCTCTCACAATAAATGTCAGTGGGGAGATGATACGGGAGATTCGGAGAGCGCTTAACATGTGCCAGCTTCACAGGCTAAATAGCAAAGGACACTGATCCCAAATGACGCCCAGAAGAATATCTGGCAAGTACATATATGCCAAGATATAGCCACCTGCATGCATGCATCTTCATGTGTGTGCAATTTAAGGAAGGGCCTAAATTTCCTTTCACGGTTTGTATAATGACATGGATTAATTTCTCAAATGCCTACATTTAAAAGTATCATAGTCAAGGATTCACACGTAATTTACAATGCATTTAATTTACAATGTATATACTACAGGGCATGTCATTAAATATTTTTAATTATATTTGAGATCAATACATTTGATAGCTGTGTGTTCCTGTGTCTGAGACTATGTAGTTCAGTTTCAGTATGTCTCTGGGAACCATTTATCTACTGCTTTCTTTCCACCCCCATTCCTTTCCCCTGTGTCTCACCATCTTTGACGTTATCACTCAGAACGAAGACGTGCTGGCCCCGGTCGCTGCGGCAGTGCTCGTGGTGGAAGCCGAGCGCGTGCATCAACTCGTGCAGAACCGTGCCCTTGGTCACCTTGCCGGGCTCCAGGGACAGCGCCTGGTCCCCGCCCTGACGGCCCAGGAATGACCAGTTCTTGCTGGGATGCCTGGAACAGAGAGGATCATAATAGGTGTGCACAAGCTGCAGATACCTGCCAACTCGAAAACCAAATAAAAAAATCCGAATTTGTGAGCATCCATTTACAAGTTTGGCCATTCTTTAACTCAGAAGTATAACTATCCATCCTTGTTCTGGATTTAAATGGTGAAAGTGAAACACCCTTACCCGTCCAAGGCCTGGATATGAATGAAGTCTCCTTCAGAGCCAACAGGGTAGAACCTGACACAGGTTTTCTTCTCAAATTCTTGCACCGCGCTCGTGATGGCTTCAACGTCATAGTCATCTGTCAAGAAGGAATATGTATGAGCCCCTTCTGCTGTTGATCATGCACTCACCAATTAACCATTCCAGACAGCAACAAGGGTTTCAATCCTACAGTTGCCCCGTTATCACTATAGCAGTTTACAAGGTAAAGACACTGTGTCAGCATGCACAAGATCAGGAATCTGTGTGTCAATTACAGTCAAAGTGTTCCCAACCTTAAACCAGCAACATGCTCATCCAGTACGATATAGAGAGTTCCACATTTCTCTGACAGGGACAAGTCTCTATGATGGAACAGCCATCTCAAACTTCCAACCATGGCCAGGATTAGAACTTATCGCCAGAGTAATGGTGAGTCAAGTACTCTGCCAGAGTAAATTCCAGGTACAGTAAATTGTGTCAGTTCCATAGCCAAAATCCCAGTTGAAAATTACCTTCTATTAAAGAAAATCGCAACTCTAATCAAGGAGAATGATTAAGTAGAGACCTACCTATACCATAACCTAAGCATTTGAACATAAATTTTAAGTGTCATTAATGAGAAAAGTGCGTTTTTTACATTTTCCAAAAACGAAGACTAGGAGTATGCATGCATTAACTCTGTTCGTCCATCCGTAACATGGAGTCATGATAACCCTCTCCCAATGTAAGTGCACAATTTGCACGAAGTTGTTATAGGAAAACTTGCTCAAAACTTGCCGATTAAAAACAGCACTAAATTATACGCTTTTTAGCCAAGCAGATGACATCACAAGCCGTGCAGGCTTCCCCCTCCTGATGACATCATAATGTGTGAAGTTATCTCATATCAGTCATGCACACTTTGACATCCTGCTTTATGGCTCAGGTTACATTATTATTGCTAATTAAATACTTCTACAGACAATCCATGTTGGAAAGTCTTACAGAGACCATGCATGTTTTATCTCCCTTGATGAATGAAATGTTGAGGATGGGGTGTGCCATCAGCCTGCCCTCGCCATAATGCCACCGTGTTGCATGCAGACGGGAAAAGTGAGTAGAACTGGGGAGCCATATACTGCTTTTATTTTAGTTTGACTGTGTTAAGCGTGTCAGCTCTACTGATTCTTTACTCATGTCTATATTAGAAAATATAAATTAAGAGTCAATAGGCTCTTAGTTGGATACAAAGGTCTAGAAGAGAAAGACAAAGATCCCCCGTATAGCCTTAACCGAATTTTGAGGCAAGTGCTTTCAGAGAGCACCTATGAAAGCGGGAACAGCATACGAGGAAGTGGGTGGCCAGCACCACGCTCGGCGGCCTTTGTCTCCCCAGTGGCGATGTTTATACATCGCACCAGGTACTCATTGAGGCTGAGTCGACCTAGGGGAGGCCCAGGACCAGTTCAAATAATCGTCACCGATGTTGGCTGTGAGAGGGAATCGAACTTGGGTCGCCGGGTTCGTCGTGCAGCGCACTAACCACTCCGCCACCAATCCCCACACAAAGGTCTACATACACACGTGTTTATGTATTCTAATTTTCTTCTATAAAACACATTCCAGCTTTACAGTAAGGCATCGCCCCAGCGTCATATTCTTCCATGCCCACATTAAAACTATAGAGAGACTTGCTGAACTTCACACACTTCCATTCTATTTTACTCTTTTGTATGGCAATATGTTCAGGAGCTAAATAGCAATGTCAAGGTCTGTTAGCTACGAGAGGGCTTCAGGATTTAGTTTGTTTAGTTTTGTTATTCCTCCTTCGTTGACGAAGTGTAGACTAGAGAGGTTTTCCATATGGCCCATAGTTGGGATGCATGGCCACAGTCGCATTGTCGCTGTCTATTATTTTAAATTTCTGAAGGAGATGTGTGCATCGGCCTGTTTATGCTCTGATGCAGTTGATTGTTACACCAGTGTCTTCAATGAATGTCAAATCCAGGAGGTGCGATGTCGGCCTTAAAAATTATGTGTTTATTTTGGACGTCCGCATTGCTCAACTCTGTTAATCAGCGTTTTTTGTTTGTTCTGGGTGAGATTCTAGGATGGTGACAGTGCAATCCCAGAAGGGGGATCGGGACTTGAGTCGGCGGTGAGGAACATTGTTGAGGTCTTGGTTGATGGGGAGATTGCCATTGGCAAGAAAACGTTTAAACTAAACTGCAGTTTGCATGTCTCTGTAGATATTTGGTGACAGAATGTTTGACAGAACAGTGAGGCAGAGAATTGGTGGTAAGGCCATGTTTAGGCTGGAGTTTGTATTATCCATAGGTATCCATGACTACCCAGGTCTCCCTTGCAAGAAACACTGATGTAGTATTATAAACAGGGTATTGAACACGTTTCATACCATGTAGAGTACATAATGTACCATGAATAGCACCTGCAGGAACAGTAGAAATAAAACAAGATATAAGTGAACAGGAAAACTCACAGAAGGCGGTGGAGACCTTGTAGGGGATGTACGCATTGCCATCGCTGTGCTTGGGCCAGTGGCTCACTTGTTGTGAAGAGAAATTGTCTTTGACTCCCCCACATTTAATGGGAGGGTCTGTCAAGCACACACACATACACTGGGATCAGAGGCCGGTGTAAACATGTGCACGTCAGGTGCGTGGCGACACGCACGCCCCGGGAACACACTGTGCATGCACAAGGGGCAATTCTCTGACCGGGTTGCGCTGTGCTAGTGTCATTCTTACCATCAGGAGGTGTGAGTTTAAATTCTGGTCACAGGTAAACTCTGCCCACCATCTATCCAGGGTTCATAAAATAATTACCACTACTTTTTTTAAGTAATCAATAACTATCTTATGTAGAGACAAAATTTGGAAGTGGTAATGTGGGTGTGCAGACACTGAACTTGGCTGTGAATTCCACTGTGCAGCTTGGTTGCAGTACCATACACAGGAAATGTACCGCATGTTCCCTACAGCTGTGCATATGTAACTGTTAAGACAGTGGACGTAGTACTTTTAGGATAATCTGGTAAAGTCAAGTGCTCAATAACTCTATTACACCAGAATGTTCTCATGTAAAAAAACATGCGGTAAGAGTGTTCTATCCCACCAGTTAGCATTGCAATGCATATTAAAAGTACAGTGGACATACTTAATTTGAATTAGCTGTGATAATCGTACAGAGGATATGTTGATCATAATTTCTTTATAGAAAATTCAAGTATTGTATGTATTTGAAAGATATGAAACTCCTGGAACATGTTGACGTTCCTTTACACATTCATGTGAGTACCTCACTCTCCATGAAGCCTCTATGGTCTACCGTGAACTTGGAGCACACCACTTAAAATCAAAGGTTGATGCTTGAGTAATTTCCATTACTTTTGTTATTGTGCTGCATGTGATGTATTAATTCAGCACAAAATCTTCTAAGTTTGGCATAAACACACAAGAACATACAATACATACCTTTCAACTTGTCTCCAATATCTTTCAAATTGGACTGTAAATAATAAAAAATATACAATCAAACATGTCCGAATAACACAATTGGGTAATATTGTTTCATAGCACAATTATTTTTCATTTATCTTGTTGACTCCTGGCAATGAGCCCATTGCTTGCTCTCTCCCTTTAGTCCCATGTAAAATCACGTGTGTAAAATCACCTTATTCCAGACCCATGTAAAATCACGTGTGTAAAATCACCTTATTCCAGACCCATGTAAAATCACGTGTGTAAAATCACCTTATTCCAGACCCATGTAAAATCACGTGTGTAAAATCACCTTATTCCAGACACCGACCAGGCTCTCAATTGTGGAGCGCTCTAGAGATGTCCCTGCATCCCTGTGCGCCGTGCTGGCACCTGAGGTCACGCGCACACGGGGTCACTCCTGTGCACGTGCACGGCGACGAGCTGCTCCTAACTACACGTCTTACCGGCTTGCGCATTTATTAATACCGGTCCAGCAATGTACAACTCACACTGTGTTTTGTAAGAGTGTGCACAGTGTAATATAGCTGTGAAAAATAGACTGGTAACTGAACCTGGCCATACCATATCAACTCTCTAAATCGAGCGACTGAATGTGGACTATGTAGCCACGAATCCCTCACCCGTGGCTGGGCGAGTCCGCGCTGGAGCAACGTTGCTGGGTCCCCATGTTGCAGGCTCGCAGTCGAACATCTTCTTGATCTTCTCCACGTCGCCCTCACTCAGGGTGTGGCCACCTCCAAAGTGACGCATGGTGCTCCTGTTCCTGGGCACCATGGTCGGGATGTGCTCGTCTTTTGAGCCCGCGGTCCTGAGGCACATGGACCCATTGTTATCAGTGCAGTTTTAATGCTGAGCTACAGTCGCACACCAACAGCTTCATGACATTCCTGTCACCACTCAGGGTGTGGCTGCCTTCAAAGTGACGCATGCTGTTTATGGGGACCGCTGTGGGGTTGACACATTTTGGCCAGACAGCGATGGTGACAGAGCACTCGACCTGTATTTGGAAGAATATGAGTTTAAGTCCCGGTGAGAAGACTCAGGCCATCACTCCCTAGGGGGTTGCTAAACGGAGTCACCCTCATTGTGAAGCCAACATGAGCACGAGGAATTTAAACCGGAGACTCATGGCAGAAAACTGAGATGTACGAATGTACATTTGAGCCTGAACACACTTTTATTTATTTGTATTCCTTTGACACATATAATGTCTGATTATACACAGGTAGGTCAAAGGCCTTAACGTTTACATTTGTAAATAAAAAGAACGTGAATGCCATTATTATGTTAAGCCGCCAATGCATCACGCTCTCATCTCGGATTTTTTTTCATCCAGAGAGGCTGCAGATGCGTGATTGCTGTGCTTAAGCTGGGCGTGTCCAGAGACGACTCAACCCAGTGATGCACAGGCCACGCCTCTCAGAACCTAGCAGCACAGCTGGACCCCCACACTGTGGTCATTGTAAAAGCCACTACATTGCCCTTGTGACCACGTTAGATGAGGGGGGGACTGTAGTGATAATAGTGAGCCACCCCTCCCCTTTCAACCCTAATAAAACCCATCCCCTTTATTCTGTGTGACTCCTCAACACTTATTCTACATAGCTCATCAATAACGGCGATTGCTCCGTAGTCTCGCATGAACCTAAATAATGGAGCATAGAGATGGTGCTGCGTAAAGGTTGCATCGTTTGACTTCACTGCTTATGTACTCTGACAGGCCACTGTTACACCGGTTGATTACACTAAAAACACCCAGCTTGAATTCACTAATTGAGTTCTGAATTTTAAAAAAACCCTGATGGTGAATGACAGAATTATATAGACATTGAAAAATGTAAATAAAATAATACAAATAAAACGTAATAAAATACGATTTTCACGACGTTTCGGCCACAAAACAAGTAGCCTTCTTCAGGTGAATAAACAGGACTGTCCAGAAGACAGCGCTTGAGTGAGCATTGCCAAGCATGGTCCGCGTCTTTTAAGCTGTGTGGGCGGAATTAACATATGCATTAGCATGTTACCCAGCCCCACCACCGGATCGGGGGAGGGTGGCGGGGGGTACACAGAAAAAAGGAAAGAAAAACGGAATAGGACAGGTGCGCTGCTCTGTCCTGTATTGCGTTAATAACTATGATATAAACTGGACTACTATGTAATATTATACCTTCCAATCTAAACTACATGGTTTATCATATCCATAGACAAAAAAAATTCCACCCTTGAATTATACAATGCGTTACTATACACTGCCCTATACTTTAGACTATAAAATATTAGACTTGTAACTTTACACTATGTCTTATTTTATCAACCCCACTATATGCCACACTGCTGTATATTCACTATACAATTACGATACTATATATTGCCATATGAATTGTGTTAAATATTACTATGTTATACTATTTAAAATTATACCACATGCTATAAACTAAACTAAAATAAGACAGTGTAAAGTTACAAGTCTAATATTTTATAGTCTAAAGTATAGGGCAGTGTATAGTAATGCATTGTATAATTCAAAGGTGGAATTTTTTTTGTCTATGGATATGATATTATACCATGTAGTTTAGATTGGAAGGTATAATATTACATAGTAGTCCAGTTTATATCATAGTTATTAACGCAATACAGGACAGAGCAGCGCACCTGTCCTATTCCTTTTTTCTTTCCTTTTTTCTGTGTACCCCCCCGCCACCCTCCCCCGATCCGGTGGTGGGGTTGGGTAACATGCTAATGCATATGTTAAGTCCGCCCACACAGCTTAAAAGACGCGGTCCATGCTTGGCAATGCTCACTCGGGCACTGTCTTCTGGACAGTCCTGTTTATTCACCTGAAGAAGGCTACTTGTTTTGTGGCCGAAACGTCGTGAAAATCTTATTTTATTATGTTTTATTTTTATTATTTCATTTCCATTCTACGTGACTTTACCGAAAGAACCAATAAGATGAATCCCTGCAGTCACGAAAGCTTTAAATCGAAAAATTGAAAAATGTATTAATAAACACTAAGTCTCTCTTTTCTGGTAGTGTTAAAGAGTGTTTATGAAAGGTTTTTTGAGTAAAGTGGGTTGCACACGTACACACATACACACGTATGCACGTAAATGCACCAATTCCCTGTCTTAATTTTAATCGGCGCTCTCTACATCAAATAGGACATGTTTATCAATGATCAGGTGCGTCCAGAATATAAAAAATTAGTTTGTATATGAATGGAGTAGATTGGTAAATATAACAAATCAGTTGTGGGGACTTTGGTTTTTAAAATCCCTGCATTCGCGGGCATTGCAATGCGCGACCACAAAGTAGTCAATTACCCAACTGGCAACAGCAAAGGTGGGTGATGCATCGTTGATTTGCCAGGTCGCAATTCAACAGCACTTGCCTGCAATTATCAATGTCGGTCACATACGTGGTGGAATCACCAAATTAAAAAGCACAAACATGTGTCCTTTATGAGAAGATATTCTGATAAGAGGCCAGCACTTACCGGAGAGGAGTGGAAACACAATAGCATCACACTCACAATCCCTGCACAGGTGAATGTAGAAGCACCACTTACATGCCGTAGTGAGTGATGGAGCTGTAGTCGTACGGGGTTGTTAGATTGTGCTCATGCGACGTCTTTTTCTCAATTGCATCCTTCCATTCTGAAAAGGAGATATCCAGTGCATGCTTTTCAAGAAGATGCATGTTTTGTGAATATACAGTTGCAAGTTACGTAAACACACAGCTTTTTGCTCTCTCTATTTATGACTGATGCACACACCGGGCTTGACGTTTTCACACAGCACCAAGACGTGGTCGTCGCGGTCGCTACGGCAGTGCTCGTGGTGGAAGCCGAGCGCGTGCATCAACTCGTGCAGAACGACGCCCTTGGTCACCTTGCCGGGCTCCAGGGACATCGCCTGGTCCCCGCCCTGACGGCCCAGGAACGACCAATTCCTGTAAAGACAACCCCAGACTGAGCACAGAGCCCCATTCACTCACTACTCAGAGACAACCCCAGCCTGAGCACCGTGCCCCGTTCACTCACCACTCATCACACAGAGACAACCCCAGCCTGAGCACCGAGCCCCATTCACTCATCACACAGAGACAACCCCAGCCTGAGTACCGTGCCCCATTCACTCACCACTCATCACACAGAGACAACCCCAGCCTGAGCACCGAGCCCCATTCACTCATCACACAGAGACAACCCCAGCCTGAGTACCGTGCCCCATTCACTCACCACTCATCACACAGAGACAACCCCAGCCTGAGCACCGAGCCCCATTCACTCACCACACAGAGACAACCCCAGCCTGAGCACCGAGCCCCATTCACTCATCACACAGAGACAACCCCAGCCTGAGTACCGTGCCCCATTCACTCACCACTCATCACACAGAGACAACCCCAGCCTGAGCACCGAGCCCCATTCACTCACCACACAGAGACAACCCCAGCCTGAGCACCGAGCCCCATTCACTCATCACACAGAGACAACCCCAGCCTGAGTACCGTGCCCCATTCACTCACCACTCATCACACAGAGACAACCCCAGCCTGAGTACCGTGCCCCATTCACTCACCACTCATCACACAGAGACAACCCCAGCCTGAGCACCGAGCCCCATTCACTCACCACACAGAGACAACCCCAGCCTGAGCACCGAGCCCCATTCACTCACCACACAGAGACAACCCCAGCCTGAGCACCGAGCCCCATTCACTCACCACACAGAGACAACCCCAGCCTGAGCACCGAGCCCCATTCACTCACCACTCACAACACAGAGACAACCCCAGCTATGTCTATAGTGTCCGTGTCTCTGTAGTAGCCATGTTTATAGTGTCTGTGGCTCTGTAGTGGCCATGTCTATAGTGTCCGTGTCTGTAGTAGCCGTGTCACTGTAGTGGCCGTGTCACTAGTGTCTGTGTCTCTGTAGTAGCCATGTTTATATTGTCTGTGTCTCAGTAGTGGCTGTGTCTATAGTGTCTGTCTCTGTAGTGTCCGTGTCTGTGTAGTGGCAATGTCTATAGTGTCTATGTCTCTGTAGTGGCCATGTCTATAGTGTCTGTGTCTCTGTAGTGGCCATGTCTATAGTGTCTGTGTCTCTGTAGTGGCCATGTCTATAGTGTCTGTGTCTCTGTAGTGGCCATGTCTATAGTGTCCGTGTCTCTGTAGGGGCCATGTCTATAGTGTCTGTGTCTCTGTAGTGGCCATGTCTATAGTGTCCGTGTCTCTGTAGTGGCCATGTCTATAGTGTCTGTGTCTCTGTAGTGGCCATGTCTATAGTGTCTGTGTCTCTGTAGTGGCCATGTCTATAGTGTCCGTGTCTCTGTACTAGCCATGTCTATAGTGTCTGTGTCTCTATAGTAGCCATGTCTATAGTGTCTGTGTCTCTGTAGTGACCGTGTCTCTGTAGTGGCCGTGTTTTTGTAGGATCTCTTGTTGTATATGAACCTTTTCCAAAATTGATATTAACAATAATATTTGCCGTTATATATATCATTTTTTTTTAACAAACGAAAAAAATAATCAATAAAACCCGTAAGCCAGGCACACGAAAAACCAGATGTCGGTCATAAACAGGCCATTAATAAATAAAGAAATAATAAAACTCTCGAGGCGAGGATGTTAGCAGCTATCTGCGAAGATCTCCAGATGAACAAGAGTTTGATGTGCCCTAAGGGAGGTCACGCAGAGGGAAGCCCTCCGCAAGCCAGAAACGAGGACGCCCACGGGTTAAACCATATATATTTTTTCCTTTGTCATTAAAACAACGGTTAAAATTTAAAATGCAATAACAAGAATAAGCTAAAGTTAGCGGTCCTCGCGCTCACTCCAATCAAGACCAGGCCACCAGATACATCAGTGAATTATTATTCAATAATTAATTCGCTATCAAATGATTTTCACCTTTAATACTTTTTACTGTTAAAACAAAGCTTGGAGACAAAATACCGAGTCACATCAAAGGTTATCGAGAAGGAATGAGGCGAACGGGCAAACTTACGAAAGAGAAACAATATCCCAAGCAACCCCGACCACCTTTGTCTCTCTCACAGCGCGGAGAAGCAGGAATTACACCTTATCACAAGGGGCCATCTGGAAAAGCCAGCCGGGTTTGATGAGGAGACACACCCCACCCCACACACGGCAACCAGGCAAACAGTTTTAAAGAAAATTGCAATATAACATTAATAATAACGTGTTAACCTTAAACGATATTCCATTATAGAACCTTACAGAACCAAGGGATATGGATTCCAACACTCTGGAAACGGACCTCTTAAACTCAGGATGAAAATTCTTTTTCTTTCTAATAACTCCATCATATCAATGCGAACCTCGGTAACCCCAGAGGGGTGTCGGGAGGACGTAGTTACAAACACGAGTCTTGGCGAACATGGGACCAAATTGTATTTGAGAAATATAAAGTCGAAAGTATAAAGAGATAGGTGCTCCCGACCACCTTTGTCTCTCCCGAAGAGCGCGAGAGAGGAATTTCACGCCAGGGCAAACAGATCGTTATCGCAGGAGCCATCTGTACACACACACACGAACTCACACACACAGACCCCGCCCCCCCTTTTCCACTGCGCAGAGAGAATTGTCTTTGAATATAACGGTCAGCCGCATTTTCAAAAGTCAGTGAAGTTAAGTCACGAGTCAAGACAGATCAGCGAGTCAAGACGTCCACAGGACGAGCAGTCGCATGGAGCGGCTGGCTCCGAGCCTCGCTGAGTAGCGAGGATCGCTGAGTCGCGATGTATCAACAAAAGTGAGTCATACAGCAGTGGAGGAAACCTGCTGTCAGCGAACCAGCACGGGCGCGTTCGCGCACTTCAACAAAGAGAGCGCGTGCGACTCGGCTCACTCAGCAGAAGAAAAACTTGACCTGTCGCCCGCGAGCGCAGCGTCAGATACTACAGCAGTGGAAAGAGCGCGCACCGGCGCAGCTCATCCAGCAGTGGAGGAAACTGCTGTCAGCGAATCAGCACGGGCGCGTTCGCGCATCTTCAAGGAGAAAGAGCGCGGCCAGCAACGCCAAGCAAGAGCGTGCAACAGCTCAGCCAGCAGTGGAGGAAACCTGCTATCAGCGAACCAGCATGGGCGCGTTCGCGCATCTTCAAGGAGAGGGAGCGCGCGCCACCAGCGTGCCATCAGCATCAGCATCAGCACCAGTGCGTGCCAACAGCGCGCCACCAGCGTGCCATCAGCACCAGCGCGTGCCAACAGCGTGCCACCAGCGTGCTACAGCGCGCAACTTCGCGTCACCAGGGCTGAGAGGGAAGCGGCCCCGCACTCAACACCCATCGGCGCGACGACGGCGAGCGTCGTGCTGACTCATCCAGCCAGCAGTGGACAGAAACTGGCAGCCGTTCGTATGCCCCAACCCCTCCCCCACACTCTTCCCCTCACTCCCCCACCGCGTCGCAACACACAGGAAACACATTTTGGACACACGAGATGCTAACCTCGGCGTCTGCTTTACGCAAAGAATTGAACCAGTGATAACGAAGACACACGATACGCATATCGGGATAATCAAGAAGGGTTGCCACTCCAAGGTGGTGCATTAAAAATCAATTCATAACGAAAAATACTGCTGTCATTGAGTTGCATAATAACCAATCGTCCTACTGTTAAAAACGTGATAAGAATTGACTTGAAGGTCTATGAATGGATGTGGTACTGTGTGGGCAATGTTTAAATACGAATTTACATTATAAGGTTAAGGTTTTGATAGAATAGTTGCATGTTTAATCTCTCTCTCAACAACCGATTGATTGCGTTACGCGTCGGGAATTAACCATAGGTGCCGTTATCAAAGTGAAACAACGTAATCGTGATGGTATCATGTTAACGCTGTGTTGAAATTCCAAAATCCCGAGATTGAGTTTTCATATTATCCAAAAATTAAAGTTAGCTAGAAAATAAATTGATTAAAGCAGAAGGTTTGTGTGTGATTCTTCCTGAAATTCTGCATAATATTGTTCTGCGTATGAGATCTGAATCCTGGGGACCTATCATAAACACACTATCACCACACATAATCCATAACACACATAATTCATAATGTTCAATCGAGAGTAATCGTATCCTTATCGATAATACGGAATTAAAGAGCAGAGTCGAATCGACTCTCTCTCATTCACGCTCACAACGCCTGCGTCACTGCATACGATTAATTGCGTTATTCCAATTCATAACACAATCCTCGTCACCGAGGCTCGACCTTATAATCCATAACGACCTGCATTATCATAACCACGCCCACTCGCATAAATTAATACGATTATCTCTCAAATCAGCATAATTTATGCGCATAATTACACTGATTAACATAATTTCGGATAAATTATGCACATTTCAAATTTCATTTAATTTTCATTATTTTCATCAATTTTCATAACACCTATATATACAACACTCTGCTGTAGCTGTATCTTTGCTGTGTCCGCGTCTCCGTGTCTCACCCCTCCCACGCGTGGATGTAGATGTAGTCGGTCTCGTCGGAGCGAGGGATGAACCGGACGCTTGTTTTCTTCTCAAACTCCACCGCCGCCTCCTCGATCTTCTTGACATCGCCGTCATCTGCAGGTCACACGCCGGACGTGAGCAGCGGGGCCGGCGTGAGCGGGAAGAGCCCACAGCAAGTGCCGAGCGCAAAACGCAGCCAACGGCATGTGGCACGGCGTGGGGTGGAGCGTGGGGCACAGGGAGGGGCACGGCGGTGGGCACAGTGGATGGCACAGCGTGGGGTGGAGCGTGAGTGGCGGTAGCGCTGGGTTCCCGTGGGGAGGGCCCGGGGGCCGCTCCGCCGCCTCGGCCCCATGGCCGCCTCTCCCTGCGCTTTCACTCAGCATCAGGAGGCGTTGCTCATTAAAACCACGGCGCCGCTTTATTTGAGTTGACAGAGTAACTTCCCGTTCACCGAGAGCTGCTTCTCTTTCATGGACACTGCTGGTGCTGCGATCTACTCTTTCTGGAGTAGCATCATGGTTACCGCTGCATTTGACTGGATAGGATCTGTCACGTGTGGCTTATTGACTTAAAACTCATTCGCTGGGTCCACACTACATGTATTTGACAGCAGATAAACAACAAACGTCATCTGTCCTTTCTAAATGGTATCCAACCCTTTTAATGTCTTATCAAGCTGTGTTGAGTGAGCGGCACTGCTTCAGATAAAGCCCGGAGCGGAGTCCCTGCGTGAGTAAAATCTCCACCCCGCGGTCCCCCGCCCGGCGAGGCGAGGAATCTCCACGATCCGCGGTGGCGACGCGAGCCTCCCTAGCGCCACTCTGCACTCTCCGTGTCGTGTGCACCGCCTCCTCTGCTCCATTGGCCCCAATGCGGCGTTCCCATCACAGTCACGCACGCTGGGTATGCGCTGCATGTCACTGGCTCCTATACGCACGGTGCCATGCGTGTATCACGAGTCACGACCGATCTAAGTCAAAGACTCGAGGCCTGGTTACAGGCCTCTGTGCGTGATGAAGCCGTGTGTATGTAGACACTTAGATCTGTGTGTCCTCTTCATTGGAGATTGGTTTGGTTCCTGGGCTATGTGGATGTATTTCCTATAGAGAGCTGCAGAGAATTCCTTTAATAATCTTCAGATTCTATATCAATAATAAGTCCTGGTTCCATCTTTCTTCCTTAGGATGAGCATTAGTGAAATGTGAATCAACAACTAATTTTTATGCAGCTATTTCAATGGAGCGTCAATCAGTCAGTACTTGTGGATGTGGCTTGATTCTCACGCTGATTCAAGTAACCAGGCGACATCTCACAGAGACTAAGACACCGAGTTGGGTTTCTTCTTCAGGGACAAACCCTGTCCCTGACTCTCCGCTCACCAACAGCTTGCCACAGCCACCTCCACGCCCAGTCACGTGATTATCAATCCACACAGAGCACAGCTCTGATTAATTTACATCCTGATTTACATTGGGCCCTGCACTTCATTCTAGACAAGGGCCACTCTGTTGATGTGAACTCTGCTCTCAATATGGTCACCTACCAGTCACAGGATGGACAAGGCACAGGTGGAACAAGGAATGAGTAGAGGGAGGAGGAGGTGAGGCCACTCACAGAAGGCGACGGACACTTTGTAGGGGACGTAGATTAGGCCGTCCCTGGCCTTGGGCCACTTTTGCATGGAGCGACGCGTGGGGTGGACGGCGATGTCTCCCCACTCGAGCGTGTAGTCTGGGTGAGACGGAACACACTCACTCACTGGCACTCACTCACACTCACTCACTGAGACACTCACTGTGACAGTGAGATTCAAAGCGATGTCTCCCCACTCGAGCGTGTAGTCTGGGTGAGACGGGACAGTAACACTCACTCACTGGCACTCACACTCACTCACTGATACACTCATTGTGACAGTGGGATTCACAGCGATGTCTCCTCTGCAGCGTGTAGTCTGGGTCAGATGGGACAGCGTCACTCACTCACTGACACTCATGCACTGTCACTCACTCACACTCACTCTCACTCACTGGCACTCACTGGCACTCTCACACTCACTCACTTATACTCATTGACACTCTCACACTCACTGACAATCACTTTCTGTGAGACATTGTCACTCACTCACACACACTGTAAGACATTCAACGTGTGACACTATGATCACTATCATACTCACTGTGACGCACTCAATCTTACGGACTTCAAAGGCACACTCACTGTGAGACATTTACTAGTTGCGTGACAGTGCCTGATTGTTACACACACCAAGTGCTCTGTGATAGTTGTGAATGTAAGTGACACACACACACCTAGTGTGACACACGCTGAGTGTAAGTGACACGCTGAGTGTAAGTGACACACACGCTGAGTGAAAGTAACACACGCGGAGTGTAAGTGACACCACACGCTGAGTGTAACTGACACACAGAGTGTAAGTGACACACGCTGAGTCTATGCGATACCACATGCTGAGTGTATGTGACACCACACGCTGAGTGTAAGTGACACACAGTGTAATTGACACACACAGTGTAAGTGACACACGCTGAGGGTAAGTGACACACTGAGTGTAAGTGACACGCTGAGTGTAAGTGACACACACACTGAGTGTAAGTGACACACACGGAGTGTATGCGACACCACACGCTGAGTGTAACTGACACACAGAGTGTAAGAGACACACTGAGTGTAAGTGACACACACTGAGTGTAAGTGACACACACTGAGTGTAAGTGACACCACAAGGAGTGCTCCTCACCTCGTTTCTCAGTCTCCACCTTCAGCTTCTTTTTCAGCTGCGCTCACAGCGGGAGACAGGGAGACAGAGTGGAGGGGTAGAGATGCACGCACGCCGCCTGCTACACTCGTCTTCACGTCACGTGATGATCGTCGTCAATGTCACTGCCCGTGTCCCACTGCGTGTGCCGAGCCGTGCTTATTGCCAGGGCTCCCGCATCATTCATCCTCAAGAGCTCCGTTAAAATCACAATCTGACTACCGCCATTCTTTGTGGGGCCTGAAACCCGCTACCGTGACGAGACAGCAGCACGCCCTACTCCAACCCTTTAGCATCGTAGCCAGGAAGACGACTGGGCAATTGGAAGGAGCATGGAAACAGTGGCACAACACCCCCCTAGCACAACACCCCCCTGACACAACACCCCCCTAGCACAACACCCACCTGGCACAACACCCCCCTAGCACAACACTCCCCTGACACAACACCCCCCTGACACAACACCCCCCTAGCACAACACCCCCTAGCACAACACCCCCCTAGCACAACACCCACCTGGCACAACACCCCCCTAGCACAACACTCCCCTGACACAACACCCCCCTGACACAACACCCCCCTAGCACAACACCCCCCTAGCACAACACCCCCCTCACACAACACCCCCCTAGCACAACACCCACCTGGCACAACACCCCCCTAGCACAACACCCCCCTGACACAACACCCCCCTGACACAACACCCCCCTAGCACAACACCCCCCTAGCACAACACCCCCCTAGCACAACACCCCCCTGACACAACACCCCCCTGACACAACACCCCCCTGACACAACACCCCCCTGACACAACACCCCCTGGCACAACACCCCCTAGCACAACACCCCCCTGACACAACACCCCCTAGCACAACACCCCCCTAGCACAGCACCCCCCTGGCACGACACCCCCCTGACACAACACCCCCCTGACACAACACCCCCCTGACACAACACCCCCTGACACAACACCCCTTGTCACAACACCCCTTGTCACAACACCCCCCCTGACACAAGTGGGCTTGAAGCACTTGAGCCACAAGATTAAAGGCAGGGAGTGGGAGCTCGAAGTCACGTGGTCTCCCTTCCTACAGAGTCTACGATGAGCGGGGCGGACGAGGAGGTGGAGAGGTCAGGAAGGGAGAAAGAGGGGCAGAGACCCTCGGTGGTCAAGCGGCAGCGGAATGAGGAGTGGTGGAAGGCCGCCTGCTAAGCCCACCAGCCGCGTGTGGGTCAACTCGTTCATTAGGGGGTCAGCTGTCCCCCCTCTCCCTGGCCTCTCCTCAGCCTGCTGCTGATTCCTCCCTCTCCGTGTCCCCTCCCCATGTGAATCTTCCTCTCCCCCCTAACGCGAGCTCCCCACTTGGCTGGGGCAGTGGGCCACTTCCCCTCCCCCCTCCCCCTGCCGTGTGGTGCCGTGACGTCACAATGGATTACCGCCGACGTCATGCAGCCCGTTACTGGAATGTCTCGGCGTGTTGCATCGCGGTCGCGTTTTGCTGTCGTAAAGAAAATTCGTCGACTGAGAATTGTAGCTGGCAGTGTGCACGTGGACGTGTGTAGGCCGTGTCGTCAATCCACTGCTGTATGAGGGCTTCCTCATGCCATGCAGGTTGGGGGGGTCATTTGACCATACTTCACCACACTAGTCATTGTGGGTTCATGAAAGTAAGGAGAATAGACACGGGAGTATTTATAGCACGATAATACCTCTCTTCTCACAATACAACTCCAAGAATGTTTTATTGTTGTATTTGTCAATGTTTAGCTCCACAACTGTGTTTATCAATACAAGGAGCGTGGGATCCCACTGACTACATCCGGGTGAAACGACGCACGACTGCCGTGTAAGGAGCACAGCGTGGACGCGTGGAGCAGCGTGGACGCGTGGAGCAGCGTGGACGCGTGGAGCTCAGCGTGGACGCGTGGAGCTCAGCGTGGACGCGTGGAGCTCAGCGTGGACGCGTGGAGCTCAGCGTGGACGCGTGGAGCTCAGCGTGGACGCGTGGAGCAGCGTGGACGCGTGGAGCTCAGCGTGGACGCGTGGAGCTCAGCGTGGACGCGTGGAGCAGCGTGGACGCGTGGAGCTCAGCGTGGACGCGTGGAGCTCAGCGTGGACGCGTGGAGCTCAGCGTGGACGCGTGGAGCAGCGTGGACGCGTGGAGCTCAGTGTGGACGCGTGGAGCGCTGTAGCGAGTGCAGTTAGTGCGGTGTCGCGTCGCTCTACGAGCGGCAGGCCGGCGTCGCGCTCGTCACGTAGCCCCCCGTGCACCGCGCGCCACGCGGCACTCCGAGCGCCGAGCGCGGTGCCGCGCCGGAGCCGAGGGAGCCCCGGGAGCCGCCTCACCTCGGGGAGGAGTTCCTGCAGCGCCTCTTCATCCAGCTCGGCTCCAGGCTGCAGCGTCTGGGGGCAAAGCAGCGACGAGTCATCCTCTCACTCTAGTACAGTGATACAGCACGCTGCAGGTGTGGTGGTACATCACGGTGCAGGTGTGGTGATGGTGCACGTTGCAGGTGTGGTGGTACAGCACCCTGCACTGTGCAGGTGCGGTGATACAGCACAGTGCAGGTGCGGTGTTGCAGCACGCTGCACGGTGCAGGTGTGGTGCTACTGCACAGTGCGGTGGTACTACCACGCTGCAACTGTGGTGGTACAGGACGCTGCACAGTGCAGGCACGTGTTGCACGCACTGTGTTCTGCTGCAATGCACTGCATGCGTTACACGAGCTGTATGCTATCGTGTGCTGCAGAAGTCCCCATGAGAGGAGCCGCTCACTGCCGCTGTGAGCCGGCTGCCCTCTCAACCGCACGGCGCTCTCCACGCCGCTCCCAGAGAACCCTGCAGGGGCTGCCCAGCCACCATGCGTGGACGCGCCACGTGGGGCGACTCTCGCTGGTTACGTCACAGTGCATGTGTACAGCACGTGCGTTATTGGCTCTGTGAGCAACAGGAATGTTCACCAGTAAACTCTGGTTATGGGTAGGTTAATGGGTTGAGCTATGAAGCAGTGGAAATACCTTTCAGAGTAACCTAGAGTGTGTATCACTTTAAAACATCTTACACCATGAGTCTCTAAATGTAATTGGTTCGCGAAGGAATGAAGTTCAGTTTGTTCACAGGGGATACAGTGGGCACGCCCACTGGGCACAAGTCAGACACAGTCGTTCTCGAGTAAGACGGTCACGTAAAAGTAAATGAAGCCGTGAACAAGCACACGGCCTTGTAAAGTACAGTATGCAAACAACCACAGCATTGAATAATTTGGGCATACAATTTGTTGAGAATTTTAATTAAGCACGTCCAGGAAATTATCTTAAATATTAAGTGGTTGTTTTTTTACGTCATGTTACTACAGTACAGGGATAGGATGACAATTACATTTGCTTTGTGTGTTTTTATTGTCACGATTTTCTACCTCGATTCACTCAATGCATCTTGCATGTTCACACTTTGTGCCACTCTTGCTTCCCGGCTCACTCGGGCATCATCAGAGCCCCGTGTCTCCAAGCGCTCTCTCGCCTGGCTTGAACAAGGCAGTGACTGATACAACCAGGGCTGAGTCGGCACCATTGCACACCAGGCCTCACCTTCCTGCGGATGCCGGCCGTGATGGAGACCATGGTGAGAGTCTTCACCAGCCCCGTGGACGAGTACAGGATGTTCTCCAGTGCCGTGAAGTTCTTGTATGAGGGCCGGTTCACCATGTCCGTCAGCAGGGAGATGGCTCCTGCAGCAGCAGCACACACAGTATACACAGTGCATGTAGTAGCACACACAGTACACATAGCAGCACAGTACACATAGCACATGCAGCACACAGTGCATGTAGTAACACCCAGAAACACATTGCAGCACACTCAACACACACAGTACACATAGCACACGCAGCACACCGCAGACACAGTACATGTAGTAACGCCCAGTGCACATAGCAGCACATGTAGCACACACATTGCATGTAGTAGCACACAGCAGCACACACATCACAGACAGTATATGTAGTAGCACACAGTACACATAGCAGCACACGCAGCATACACAGCACACACAGTACATGTTGTAACACAACAACAACAACCGCCATTCGCCACTAAGTGGTGGTGACGTCACCACGACGCTTGTGCCAGGCTATGTGCACCCTGAGGCCACGTGAAGTGTCAAACGCCCGCTGGCAGGAGATCACGGGGCAGACCCAGGTGCCACGGGTCGACTGACTGAGATGACTGGCTGATGCACCACCTGTGCCCCCTACTGTGCCAACCTGCTGTGCTTTAGCCATCCGGCGCTCCGCTCGTTGTTGTGAGCGTCGCTCCTCCGCCCTCCGTTGTTGTTGGAGGGCGACTACCTCCAACTGCCCAGTAGCATCCTTCACGAGCCTCCTCCACAGAGGCCGATCTTGACACCGCTGGTACCAGTCATCGGCAAGTCCACTCAGCTCCATGTCCTCCTGTACCACATCACTCCATCTCTTCTCTAGCCCGTGCCGCGCCCGCTTAGCCCCCTCAATCCGGCCGAACAAAAGCTGTTTCGGCATGCGTTGGCTGGGCATGCGGGCTACATGACCCAGCCATCGCAGCCTTGCCCGCCGGAGGAGCTCACCGATGGGACCTTGCCCAGATCTTTCAAGGATTTGTGAGCTCCTCACACAATCCAGTCTGGATGGATCGTAGGCAGGCCAGCCTAAATGTTTCTAACCGGCGAAGATGTTCCATTAGGGGGGTCCACGTTTCGCAAGCGTAGAGAAGGGAGGAAATGACCGTGGCCGAGAAGACCTGAAGCTTAGTGCGGAGCGACAGACCAGGTAGCTTCCACACAGCGTTACGCAACCGATGAAAATATATTGCCGCTCGACTGATTCGGAGTGAGACCTCTGCTGTTAAACTGGAGCCAGTCATAAGCACACTGCCCAGGTATGGGAAACTCTCCACTCTCTCCACAACTGCCCCATCACCGATTGGGAGTTGTGGGGGTGGAGTGTCCGATGGTACAAAATACCCAGGCAGGTGCTTAGTTTTGGAGGGGCTGATGGTAAGGCCCCACCTCTTAGTGGCACGCTCCAGTCTCAGCAGCAGCGTCTCCAACTCCTCCTCTGAATGAGCAGCTATTACCAAATCATCAGCATACATAACGTGGTTGAGCAATAGGGAGCCATCCCTTGACCGCACCCGGGCATCGATCAGCCTCCCATTATATCTGTACCATATGGAGATTCCCCCGGTACAGCTATTGAAGGCTTCACAAACTACGTGGTAAAAATAGATGTTAAATAATGTGGGAGCCAGAGGACATCCCTGTCGCACCCCAAGGTGTACAGGGAATGGCTCTGACTCCCGGCCACAGTAGCACACGCAGTATACAACGTGCATGTAGTCGCACACACAGTAGACATAGCACACGCAGCACACAGCATAGACAGTACAATAGTACATATCGCAGCACACACAAGACAGCAGCACACGCAGCAACACACTTCATAATATTGGTCGCAAAGCCTACGTGTTAAACTGAGCAACAAACTGGTTTATTTATTGAGTTGTTTTTTTTATTAACGCCTATATTTGTGAGAGCTTGCATGGCTGTTTCAGTTTTATAAATCAATAAAATGTACGAATAGTGAAATTGATACTCATGATCCTAGAAGAGTTACAGAGGAATGATGCAGATATTTAATTGCAGTGTAATAATCATTTCTTACAGTGAGGGAAAAAAGTATTTGATCCCCTGCTGATTTTGTACGTTTGCCCACTGACAAAGAAATGATCAGTCTATAATTTTAATGGTAGGTTTATTTGAACAGTGAGAGACAGAATAACAACAAAATCCAGAAAAACGCATGTCAAAAATGTTATAAATTGATTTGCATTTTAATGGGGGAAGTAAGTATTTGACCCCTCTCAATCAGAAAGATTTCTGCTCCCAGGTGTCTTTTATACAGGTAACGAGCTGAGATTAGGAGCACACTCTTAAAGGGAGCGCTCCTAATCTCAGCTTGTTACCTGTATAAAAGACACCTGTCCACAGAAGCAATCAATCAATCAGATTACAAACTCTCCACCATGGCCAAGACCAAAGGGCTCTCCAAGGATGTCAGGGACAAGATTGTAGACCTACACAAGGCTGGAATGGGCTACAAGACCGTTGCCAAGCAGCTTGGTGAGAAGGTGACAACAGTTGGTGCGATTATTCGCAAATGGAAGAAACACAAAAGAACTGTCAATCTCCCTCGGCCTGGGGCTCTGTTGTATATGAGCCTTTTCCAAAATTGATATTAACAATAATATCT